CAAGTTTCCACAGGGTGTGTGACAGTTGAGAATATCACAGTAGCTGTCACTAGAGAAGCTGGGATCTGGATGCAATCTGCATAGAACAAGAATATATTGTGATGGTTTGAATGTGAATGGGCGCCAGAGGCTCATATATTTGCATACTTGATTCCCAGTTGGTAGAACTGTGAAGGAAGGTGTGGCCTTGTTGGAGGTGTGCCACTAAGGGTGGGCTTTGAGGTTTCAAATCGCCCACATCACCAGTGTATCTCTGTCCCTTTGGTGTTATAAGAGGAGAGTTCTCAGCTACTGCTTCAGCACCTGCCTGCCTGCCATACCCCTGCCATGATGATTAACCCTCTGAAACTATAAGTGCCCCCCAAACCTCTTTACATTTCCTTCCTTAGTGGTGGTGTCTTACCACAGCAATAGAAAAGTAATTAAGACAATTGAACCACCACAGGGTCTCACTATGTAGCCTAGACTGGCTTCAAACCTTGACTCTACTCCCTCCTGAAGTCTGGGTTGAGAGACCTACTCTACTGTGACTCCCCAACTCCTCCAACTGCCTCCTGTCAGTCACAAGTTTGAGGATTTAACTTGATTTGTCAGGGTCTAAAAGTCTCCGGGTGAAGGAGCCCCAACACCAGCTGTGGTGAAGCTGACAGTGCCATCCCCAGGGCCTTCCTTGCCGATAGGAAGCATTGGAAAAATAGCAGGAAGATGGCCTTGGCTTCATCCCACCTTTGAAGACTCTAGATCTACACCCAAACCCAAATGCAAGGAAGTTTGTGGAGTGTTTCTAGTTTTCTACTGTCTGCTGGACAAGAATACATACAAGTACGAACTTCCACACTCACATGTAAACTTTGTATGTAAGACCAGGACCCAGGCCTGGGCCACTATCACTAACACCTCTGGAGGCTTCTTCTTCTTCTTCTTCTTCTTCTTCTTCTTCTTCTTCTTCTTCTTCTTCTTCTTCTTCTTCTTCTTGCTCTTCCTCTCCTTCCTTCTCTTCCTTCTTATTGAGACATGGTCTCACTGTATAGCTCTGTCTTGAAACTCACTATATAGACCAGGTAGACCTCGAACTCACAGAGATCCACATGTCTCTACCTCCTGAGTGCTGGGATTAACAAGCATGCACTATTACACTCGGCTCATCTGAACTCATTCTTAATGCCTTCTGTGGGTATTTCAAAATTGCTGAAAATGTAATTGGTGGGGTTGTAATCCTAAAGACTTCTTATGCCAGAAAATACATAGCATACTGGTTATGTGTACATAACTGGGCTGGTTAGGTTTGTTTGTTTGTTTGTTTTGGTCACCTTGACATAATCTAGAATTATCTGAGAAGAGGCAATCTCAATTGAGAAAGTGCCTCCATCAGATTGGCCTATAGTCAAGTAGGGGAGGGCCCAGCCCACTGTGGGCAGTGCGGTCCCTAAGCAGGTGCTCCTGGGGCCTGTAAAAAGGAACACCGAGGAAACCATGGACAGCAAGCCAGTACGCAGCATTCCTCCATGGCTTCTAGTTCAGTTCCTGCCTTGAGTTTGTACCCTAAATTCCCTTCATGATGTAAGCCAGTGAGATGAAATCAACCCTTTCCTCCCCAGGTTGCTTGTGGTCCTGGTGTTGATCACAGCAATAGAATCCTGACACTTTGCCCTCATCCTGAGCGCACTAGTTGTTTAGGTGTACTCCCATCCCGGAGTTGCATTTCCTGTGGGAGGAAGCAGTAAGTAATTCACAATTGTCTCTCCTGTCACTGTGCCTGCGTGGCTCAGAGAAGACCTGTAGGCATCTGCTGAACAGAAACTCTTCATTCAGGACTTAGAGAGAAACAGTAAGCCCGCATCCACGGAGAATCCTGTGTAGCAGCAGAAACTGCGGGGGTGTGGTGTAGTGTGGAGGGTGGGGGGTGTCGGCATGCCAGAGGGAGTGGGCCTTTTAGGGAAAAGAGTAGGATCTGTGTCAGGCACCGGCTCCATCCTGTCTGCTGGTTTGGTTTCAGGCTGGGAGGCCAAAGCTTCTTGCCATTAATATTTTGGGGATATAAATCTCTGGAGTCTGGAGTCTGGAGCAAGAATGAGACAAGAAGCCAATGCCTGGAGAGTGTGAGAGCCACAGCTCAAGAGCTTCGAGCAGGCATAATACAGCCCGGTGTCCAGACCTGATGATCCTCAGCACCCTGAAGTGCTACGCAGTCCAAAAATGAGAGCAAGGGAAACCCCGCTCTAGTTACCTAGTAACAGTGACACAAAGACACCGAACGCACACGCACAGGCACACGCACGCACACACGCTATGCCACACGCTATGCGTATGCTACTCACATCATTGCCGGCAGTCTCCGGCACAGGCCACCCTGCTTCCGTTGACCGGCAACCGAGCCTGGGTCTGCAGAGGCGCCGTGGCTGCGGATAACCGGGAGGTCCAGGGGCGCGGCACAGGGCGGGGCGCACTCTCAGGATTCAGGGCTCCCAGCGCTCAACCGGAGCCCCGCGCACCCGGCTTCCCGCTGTCTCTGGCCGCCCGCCTCACAAGGCGCCTGCAGCCTGGCTCGCTCACTGTTCCCGAGTCACCTAAATTCTGTGATCCCACGCCACCTCCAGGACTCTCGGTGTCTCTCACCGACTGTGGAGAGGCAGGGTTCTTCTTTCAGGTGACAAATGGTGGGCTGAAAGCGTGGAGGAGAGTGTATCCCTGGGAACCTCTTGCTATGCTGTTTTCCACCGGAACCCTCCCTCGGGCCATTTACTTTTTATTTCTGACTTGCAGTTTGCTGTCCCCTTTCCTACACTCCTCTCCTTTTCTTTCAAAGCAGAGTTGAAGTTTGTCATGATCTTTTAACATAGATTTTAAAATCTAGGGTGAAGGGGTGAAATGCTCGGACACACCCAAATATGGGGTGTGGGCTTCTCAAAGGAGAGTTTGGTCCCATCGCTTACCTGGTTTCACTCCTTGAACAAGTGCTAAATTCAGTCTTGGGTTTCAGGGATGCAGGTGTATCAAGTAAATTTCGACGCCAGATAGAAATCATGGGTGCCTCTTCTGGCTCATTCTCGGGATGAACTTAGGCTCCATCCAGTCCTCTTTCTCGGAGGCAATGATTCTTTTCCTAAAGTGAACCCATTTTCTAGAACTTGCAAAAATTTCCGTTCTCACGAGCTTCCTCTTCCTGCAGGACTAAGACATATTTTCCTCCCCCCCCCATTGGTCATATGATGTCCATTTGATATGTCTCTTTATTTGCGTGGCATGAGTGGAAAACATTGATGAAACTTTTGGCTAGATTCATCCCTGGTTTCTGACAGCACTGGCTGCTGGAATCTATCTGGTAGAATTCACCATGTTTAAAGGAATTTTAACCCTGTGCGAACCTGCTCTTACCGCATAGTATCTCATTGTCCTACACTGTGATGTTCTGCTCCCTTACTGGATGAGGAGTTACCGCATTTTGTTCATGATACACGCACACACAAAAGACAAGGCATTAGCCCAGATCTCTAATTTCATAAAATAAAAAACTAGCCAGGCCTGGTGGCACAATGTATTCCCCAGCACCCATGAGGCAGGAGAACAATGGTATCCAAGTCAGTGTGAGCTACATAGTGAACTGTCCAAGGAGCAAAGACCAGACAAGTAAACTACACGGTAGGCTGGGTCACCAGAATGGGTCACACAAGGCAGTGTACCACCTGCTTGTAGAATGCCCTAGCTAACCTTATCAGAAGAGTTCTTGGCAGGGCTACTCCACGTACCCTTTGTTGTGAATTTCAATTCAGATTCATCAGCTGCCCCTGCACAGCATGCTGCCCTGTGGACCCCAGGGCTATCCTGGCTGGCTCCTTAAGTGTCTTTGAGAAAAGGCAAAGAGCAAAGTATCCTACCATAGGGTCTTTTAAGGTGACAACAAACAACTCACACACACAACCTTAAAGCTGAAAGAGGTCACTCGTAAGCAATGCTATCCAGTGATCATTCATAAATTCACTCACATTTCTTCTAGAATAATCTATTTTCTTTAATTTCACTTGTCTCCTGTTAGTGAGTTACTTATATCTATTCAGAGCCTATTGCTAGAGTCATGTGCTTCTAATTTATTATCCAGGAAACCACTGAAAAACATTGATGAATTTAATCTACAAAATCCTCTCAAACTGACTGTATTGCATGTTAATTATATATTTTTAGTCCCGTGTTGGGTATAATTGCCGATTTTAATAAGCCAGTGTCTAGACTAAGAAAATAGCACTTAATATGTGGTAAACACTTGGTCATTTTTCTTTTACATAACAAGACCAAAAAAATGAAGTTGTGAATCAGAATTGCTTTCCTGTGTCATTAAAGCCAGATCCTTTTTGCCTGTGGTATACATTTATGGTTGTGCAAAGAACTCAAGTTAGTATCAACAAACAGAACAATGCAGGACTTTACAAAAACATTTCAGTTTTGAAAACCAAAGTGAGTATTTTTCCTTTAAAAACACATTTCTTTGCATTCATATTTTAATTTTATTTGTTGCTATAAACTAAGGTGTCCTCCCCAAATTCCTGTGTTAAAACCCGAACCCACCCTGTGATACTGGTCAGAGGTAGGGCTCTGGGAAGTAATTAGGTAACAAAAGGTTCTCTCCAGTTAGGGGAGAATGCCTTCCTAAGTGGGGAAAAGGTCTGGGTTCTTCTCTGCTTTCCTAGGTGCAATTGAGGACACAGCAAGGTGCCCCTCTGAATACACAAAGTCGCAGCCTCCCTGGACACAATGTCTCTCACCACCTCGACCCTGCATGTTAGCCAGCACACTGGTTTTAAAAACTACTCTTTTGATCTATTTGATCTGATTTATTTATTTAGTTTCAGAAGAGACAAGAGGCTACTTAAAGACCCCCTGTCTTGGGAACAAGCATTAAAGGGGACTATTTTCATGTCTGTCACTCTAAGGGAGGTGGTCATTGAGTGGGTTTCTTTCCTCTGTGAGTGGGAAGAGCCTGCCTTCTCAGCAAGGAGTTCCTGCAGTCACAGACTCCAGCCTCCATCGATGATGACAGGGTTGCCAGTCACATAGGCAGACTGCAATGGCAAGCACAAGAGACGCAATAGTTACTCACGCTGGACCCAGGGTCTATTTTTAATATTTCTCATGACTGAGATAATAAAACCTTTGCCACTCACGCTAACAGGAAACCGTCACTGAATGGGGGCGGGGATGAACGTTTGAATAATTTACGACAGCTGAGCATCTCATGATCTGGAGCACATGGCCTTTGGCAGATGAGCATGTCACATTCTGCACGAGGTCTGTTAGGCGCTCGGCTTCAGAGCCACAGACATAAGGAGAGGTGATAGAAAGTACACGCAGAAACAGTACATGCTTTTCTAACCTTTTCATTTTGTAGCTCAGAACAGATCAAAGCTAGCTAGCTGTCAGCCCACTAATAAATGTTTCCGATGTGTGTCAATCATTGTTAACAATGGGGAAAACAGGGTGCTTATTAATCGATCAATTCATGAAAGCTCACTAAGTATGTTTGTGAAAATTATGTAGGCAACAATTATTGCTATCCATTAAAGTGTCTTATAGTACCCCGCAGTAGATTCAGTTGCCCAATTCTGTATAACACTAAAGGGCTTAAAAATAATTATTGGCATTTGTAAACATTCCCATTTCCCAGAGAAGTAGAGCTGAAGTTGTGAAGAAGTTTAAAAATATCTCAACTTGTCTCCTGGAGGTGGACATGGCATGAACTCATGGATTCACAGCGGCTGCGGCTGCCTGCTGGGGCTTCGAACACTGACATACTGTCATTAGGGAGTGTGTATCATCATTGTACCTTAGTGATGCAGCCACTAGTATACACATGTAAATAACCCCACAGCCATGATCCCAAAGCAACCTGAAGTATGCTCAGTGGGTCATAAAGAAGGAGGAGGAGGAAACCGGGCAGTGGTGGCATATGACTTTAATCCCGGCATTCAGGAGGCAGAGGCAGAGGCAGGTGGATCTCTGTGAGTTCAAGGCCATCCTGGTCTACAAAGCTGCACAGAGAACCCCTGTCTTGAAAAACCAGGAAAAAAAAAGTAGAAGACTTGTTGAGAACACAAGGGTAAATATGGTCAAGATACATTATATATGTTATATAGGTATATGAAATTATCAAAGATAAGCAATGATAAGCAGCTCTCATGCTTGTCTCCTTAGTTTGACTTGGACCTGAAATTGAAGTCATCAGAAGAGGCAGGAGAAAGGACTTTCTAAATAAATACACGAAGCGTGATAAAGTGCTTGTTTCAGTGATAATTTACCCAACAATTCCCCAGCTTCTAGGAACTCCTGCCGACAGTCTTGAGCAGTAACTAAACCATCGTGTCTGTCACCATCACAACTATCTGGGTGCCACCAAGTCACTGTGAAGAGGAACTTTGCTGTAAGTACCATTCCCCCCCCCCAAAGAAAAGAAATAAAACAGTCCCTGTCGGAGGGGTGGGAGCTCTGGGGACCCTGGAGGCACAGGAACATCACACACCTGGGGAAGTTAAAGCATGCAGGTCTCTGACACGGCCCCTGCAGAAACTGAGGGAGGAGGGGACCATCTGATCTGGCTCTGCCAGACACCAGTGCTCCAGGGTGATCACCCACACAAGCTAAGGTGGGCTTTTCAGTGATACAGTCCTTTCTAAGTCATCCCCGCTCCTGTAATTAACCCTTCACCCACACTCCTGTTAGTAACCCCAGTAAAAACTCAGAGGTCCACAGGTTAGACATCGGTACGATTGTTATTCTGTCTATTGTGGGTTCGGAATGGAAGAGGATATTTTTATACTCTGCACCTTGTAACAGTCTTTGCTTTATTAGTCATACACACTAGTCACCGGGGAGGAAATTAGTTATTAAACAAGTGTAAAGTTGAAGAGACAGAATTAGGCATTTCTACATACAATGGCAAACAAGAACAGGAAAAATCATACAACCCTCCCAATCAGGCCACTAGTAAACTAGAACAGTATATACTAACTCTACCCCAAACCCAATTAAAGCTGGTAAACCTACTCAAAGCCCTCTACGACTCTCACAATCAAGAGGATTTTTAAAATTACATTATGTTTAGTGTGTGTGTGTGTGTGTGTGTGTGTGTGTGTGTGTGTGAATGTATGACACACCAGTGAAGGTCAGAGTCTGTTCTCTACATTCTCCATGTGGGTGACAGGGGTCGAACATAGGTCACCATGCTTGGCAGCAAGGGTTCTTATCCATGAGTCATCTTGCTAGCCCAGGAGGTTTTTATATTTAATCAGTGTGTCTACAACTGCTATTTTAAAGAGCAAATATCTCAGACAGAGATGCACTTTAAATTTCTTCCTATAGTTTTTCATCTGTGATATGACGCTCAGTCGTGTCAAGCTGAATGAAGACAGATAACAGTGGCTTTTCTTTGAGGAAATGAAATCAGAACTTGTTCCTGTCTTGTGAATGAAGCATTTTAGAAATATATATCACAGACTCGAAAACATGGGATGAGGATGAGCAACTACAGCCCAGTGTGGCAGAGTAACAAATGGGAAGAGCAGCACTTACTTCATCTGAGGCCAAGTAGACGCAGAGCAGGGCCACTTCTTCTGCAGATGCGAACCTTCCCGTCTTTTGTCTGTTTAGGAAAGCTTGCAGGGCCTGTGGCCAGAGACAGTTCCAGATAAGAGATGTGGCTGGCATGCGTGTGCCCTGTGACATCATCAAGGAATCTACAGAGGAACTAGGGCCATCAGCTGAGGTTGCTGTGACTTTTTCACCCATGCTACCCAAGCCAGTCACGATACGCTGAAATCTACGGACACTGTGATAGGTAAGAAAACCACTAGGGTTGGGTGTGGCGGTTCAATGCCTTTAGTTCCAGCACTTGGGAGGCAGGAACAGGTGGATCTCTGTGTTTAAGGCCAGCCTGGTCTATAGCATGAGTTCCAGGACAGCCAGGGCTACACAGAGAAACCCTGTCATGAAAAACAAAACAAACAAAAACTCCCAAGCAGCAACAAAGCAAACACAAACAGAAGGCCACTAGGAATGTCCATTGAGGTCAGTGTTGGTGTGCAATTGTCATACCAGCATGGGGAGCTAAGGAAGGAGGGACACACGTGACCACCAATCTAGGACACGGAAGATGATACTTTATCTCAGAATCACAACAAAGTTGACCACTGAATTGACCATCCCAGGCATTTTAAGCACACAGCTCGGGGTGATAAGTACATACACACCTAGTGCCACGCGCACCAGGTTCCGTCTCTCTTTTCATCTTGTAAAACATGAACATCTCCATCTATTAAGCAGCAAATTTCCCCTCAGGTGTGGCAGCCGCCGCTGTACTTTCTGTGTCTATGAATTTATCTACTTTGCATAAGGAACAGTTTTAAAAATACAATTTAACTATTTTATGTGTATTGCTGTGAAGGTATCATCAGATCCCCTGGAACTGGAGCTACAGACAGTTGTGAGCTGCCATGTAGGTGCTGGGAATTGAACCTGGGACTTCTGTAAGAACAGCCAGTGCTCTTAACCACTGAGCAATCTCTCCAGCCTCAGCATCTCATTTTTTTTTTTTTAAATAAAAACTTTAGCCAAAAAGTCTGAAAAACATTTAGAATGCTAGATATATTTTTATACCTTTGTGGGATCATCTCTGGCTTGAATTCTTTCTTGCAGAGATGGGGTGTCAACCGTTCCTAAAACCGAAGGAGACAGCCACTGTGATTACTTCAATTGAAAAGGAAATTAAACCTTAAACTTCTTTTCTATGTGCTAAGCAAGCAGCAAAATCTTTGTTCTTTCACTTAGAGGACACTGTGAACTCTACCTGCCTGACCACTAAGGGCTATAACTTTTGTAATGACTCAAAAATGCGTTTTAAACAAGCCATTCTTCAGAACACTAGGCTGGGACCCTGGAGGAGTTGACAGGCATTCTCAGGGACACACAGTCATGCTGTGGTTTCTTTATGAGTTTAGATTTGTAAGTACTTTTACATGTTACCTCAGCTGCTCCCTGCAGGAGTCTGGAGAAGCAGAAACCGGTAAATTTAAGTTTCACCAGTTTGCCTTAATGATTTCAAACCATTCTTTTCTGCTATGATGTTCACCACTGGGATCCTGGGCTTAACCTCGTGGTCGACATAGACCTAGTCTATCATCATGCTCTCATTGGCTTCAAACATATTTTTAACTATTGTTCGAAGTTCTAATAAAAACATAATTGGTTTTTCTTAAAATGGAAAAATATGAAGAATCAGATATTTAAAATCTAGTTAGCTGCTCTTAGAGTTTAAGAGCACTGGTTGCTCTTCTAGGGCCCTGAGTTCAATTCCCAGAAACCACATGGTGCCCTCTTCTGGTGTGCAGGCATATATGCAGCAGAACCCTGTGTATATAATACATAAATAAACGAATGAATAAATAAATAAATCAAACCCAAATAACCACACCTGTACAGCTGTCTGGACTTTTCCCCAAACTCTCTGTGGAACACTGATGGGTTTTTTTTTTTTTTTGTTTCGTTTTCAGAATATCAGTGCTCTGGGAAATCAGTTGTAAGAACTTTAAGGCACCCTCTCTACTCTATCACTAGACCACCCAATTGAGAAGGCCATTCATAGATTTGACTCTCTTCTGGAAGTGTTCCTTAATTTTGGTACCATTTGCCATTTTTCTGGAGAGATAGTGGACCTTCCACATCAGACCCTGATTTCCGTGTAGAACTGTGTCCTCAGTCACATCCTACACAGACTGACTCCCATATAGAACCATGTCCTTATCCTACTGCACTCCCTGACTCCCATATAGAACCGTGTCCTTATTCTACTACATTCCCTGACTCCTGTGTAGAACCGTGTCCTTATCCTACTGCACTCCCTGACTCCCGTGTAGAACCATGTCCTTATCCTACTGCACTCCCTGACTCCCGTGTAGAACCATGTCCTTATCCTACTGCACTCCCTGACTCCTGTGTAGAACCGTGTCCTTATCCTACTGCACTCCCTGACTCCCGTGTAGAACTGTGTCCTTATCCTACTGCACTCCCTGACTCCCGTGTAGAACTGTGTCCTTATCCTACTGCACTCCCTGACTCCCGTGTAGAACCGTGTCCTTATCCTACTGCACTCCCTGACTCCCGTGTAGAACCGTGTCCTTACCCTACTGCACTCCCTGACTCCCATATAGAACCATGTCCTTATCCTACTGCACTCCCTGACTCCTGTGTAGAACCATGTCCTTATCCTACTGCACTCCCTGACTCCCGTGTAGAACCATGTCCTTATCCCACTGCACTCCCTGACTCCCATATAGAACCATGTCCTTATCCCACTGCACTCCCTGACTCCCGTGTAGAACCGTGTCCTTACCCTACTGCACTCCCTGACTCCCGTGTAGAACCGTGTCCTCAGGGCCTCAGTCTCACCCTATCATACACAGCTGTCTCATCAGATTAATCCCGCTTCACTGGTGTCTGCTGTGCCATGTCTACGCGTGTGGCTTCAATGTGGCGACTCACAACTGTTGGCACTAACCCAGACACACTCCTCCCTTGCTTCTGGGATGGCCTCGGTGAATCACAGCTAGTTCCTTGTTCCAGAGTTTAATAACAGATTTTCCAAGTCCCATGAAAATTCTAGCTGTGGAAACAACCACATTTTTGAGATTGTTTGCCATTTTTTTTTCTTGATGGCCAACGCCACCAAGATCAGGTGTGGCCAAGTATGAATGGCAAGAGTGTCCTTTTTCTGTATTACCTGTGGCTTCACCTCCACCCCTCACAAAATGACACAGATGTCTCAGCCTCTGCAGCTCAGATATGAAGGGTGTTTCATTGTTTCTCCGGTGGTTCCCAACCAGGGAGTTGAATAGAACCTCCTCCGGGACTTCCCAAATGGCACCGATCTCCTACTGAACATCCCTCAATTCTGGCATGCCCATCGGGTGGACCACCACAGCTCTGGTTGTGGACTGTTGGAAACCCTAGTCCTGGACATACAACATCACGTTTCAGAGTTTAAATTCCTTGGCTTTGAGGCTTCTCTTATGGCAGTAATTGGAGGGAGCAGTTGTATTAAAAAGACCTTTGCTGCATTTCATTTTTAATAACCTCTTCTTGTCCATTTCCTTAGCTGTGTTAGATACCAGGCGCTCTCCCAGCCTGCCTTCAGTGACTCTATACCAGCAGCCATGGTGTCCCTACTCACCAAATTCAAACTCATACTCTTTAAAACATCCCCACCATCCCAGGCCACTCTCTCGCCCTGTCTGTCTGTCTGTCTGTCTGTCTGTCTGTCTGTCTGTCTGTCTGTCTGTCTCTATCTCTCTCTTATCCACACACCAATAAATCTCTTGCATGAGCTCTGTTGTGTGGTATGATCTCTGTGGCATTCCTTGGCTCTGGTCTGCCAAGATACTCCTACCACTATACCTAACAATCTGCCCTTTATACAAAGCAGCAGTTTCTGCTCTGAAAGATCTTCTGTCATCCAGTGCTTGTCAGTATACCGTACACCAGCGCGTGTGAGGTGCACCAGTGCGTGTGAAATGCACCCGGGTGTGTACAGTGTACCAGTGCATGTGCGGTGTACCCGTGTATTGCATCAGTCAGTGTGTGGTGCATCAAAACAGCAGTGAGTCTAGGAAATTTGTTTTATTTCAAGCTTCCTGAGACCACCCCATGAATGGTGGCCTGAGATTTCCTGGTTTCAGCTGGCACTGTTAGGTACCCTGTACTCATTTTGGGTTGGTGGAACCAGAAAGAGGTGTACCTACAGTTACCAAGAAACTGTGTCTCATCCCAGAAAGCAAAACAAATAAAAAGCAAAGCATTTTTCTTGTGTCTTCATAGGAGGGTGGCCATGCTTTTCACAATGGAAGCAAATATTTTTGCTTTGAGAGTCGTGTGATCTGTTTTGCAACCTCTCAACTATGTCTTTGTAGCTAGAATACATGAGCCATCCAGGTGGGACTGTCTCCAGAAAGCTTTACTTACTAAGCAGACCACAGCATCCTTTTGACTTAGTAGCCATTCTGCTGTTGTTTGGGACTTCGGCAGATCCCTGTGTCCCACGAGGCTCCCCTGGCTTTCCCTCTGCTGTCCCCTTGGTATGATGATGGGAGATGCCTTTATGTATATATGTTTCTCATACTGGTTAATGAATAAAGCACTGTTGGCCAATAGGAAAGGAAGATAGGAGGGACTAGGAGACAAGGAGGAGAGAGGAAGTATTAGGGAGGGGTCAAGATGGAGAGACTGGAGAAAGCAGAATTCAGGCCAGCTCCCCAGTAAGAAAAATACATAGATCAGCAGAAATGGGTTAATACTTAAGACAGAGCTAGCCGATAAGAAACTAGTACCGGGCCAATAGCGTTGTACCTACAGAGTCTCTTGTGTGTTAATTGGGGCTGGTGCGGCGGCAGGACAAGACCAGCGGTGGGAGAGTCTACTTTTTGACTCTCCGCTAAGAAGGTCACCATGGTCTGCTTTTAAAACAACAGGGTCTGCCAAGTTTTGTGTCTCGGCCACTTGAGTCTAAACTGGCCCACACATGCTGGATTTCAAATCCTTCATATGGAGGCTTCTTCCAAGTGACTTGAAACCTCTGTCCATCCAAAGCTGTACTGTTCTCTTAACTAGGCCAAAGCTCTAGTTTAAATGTCTCTGGGTGATGAAAAGAAATTGAACCCATGACAAACAAGCTGGTGGAAAGGTTGGTTATGGTGCCATACGGAGCGTAAGAAAGGCCAGCATCCCAGCCCTCCTGCCTGACTCACCTGGGCACACACAGTTGCACCTGATGCCCTGCTGGATGAAGTCTGCAGCCACAGACTTTGTGAGACCAATCACAGCCGCCTTGGTTGCACTGTACACACATCTGTTTTCCACTCCTGGGTGTGAAGGAATTAGAGACAGTTTCCTTCAGAGAAAGGAACACAGCGCGTTTTTCCCACTCAGCATTTTCATATTCCTATCAGCTCTCCTTTTATTTATTATTTATTTATAATAAGAAAATTGAAATCAGCTTTTCCTCTAAAGAATGATTGGTCTTGTGGTGGGGATAGAGACAGTTTCTGAATGCCAGAAAATGCTGCCAATATAGGCAGACCATGACTTAGACTTTGGTGTTACATGGCGTTTATAGCAGCCACCCATTGTTTACCACCAGTACAGGAGTAGGAAACCCTCATCCCCTTCTAGATCTTCCTAAGTGAAGAAACAAAAGACCCATCTCCCTTACATTCCGCTCCCGTATATATCATATATAAGAGAAAGAACATCGTCTCCACGATGATTTCATTTTAAACTCACAAATCCATCAATTTCAGGCTGTGACATTCTGTCCGTTTAGTGCTAGCCCTTTTCCTTGACCTGTCTTTCAGGGCCCTGTGCTGCAACCTCACAAGCACAGGGGCCTCTCACGGATGCTGTGTTTGTGCAAACCTCTGCTACCCTGAAGAATATGGAGTCCGAAGCTGAGTCTGGAGGTGCCCACCTACAACCTAGCACTTCAGAAGTGGGGGTGCGATGATGATGATGATGATAAGTTCAAGCCGGCTTCGGTTGCCTAGTGAGGCCAGGGGCTTCCTGAGATGCTATTTATGAAAAGCACATGAAAGTCTTGCTTGTTCCCTGTGTACTGAGAATTCTTTTTTTTTTTTTTTTTTTTTTTTTTTTTTTTGATTCTGTGGTGATATTTTGTTTGTACAAATAATACAAATAAAGCCAGAGAATGGAGCTTGCCACTAGCTAACCATAGAGATCTGGAGGTCTGTCCAGACAGATATAAGCAGGGAGAAATAGGAATTGCTCTCTTGTCTGCTGAGATGCTAAGGAGGTAAGGCGTATTGTGGCTTACTGTTTCTCTCTGATCTCTCAGGGTTTTCCTCTATATCTGACTCTGGCTTTTTGTTATCAAGACAAATTAAGAACTCCATTTACAGGATTCAAGGGGCATCCAGCTCAGCTTGCATTTAATATATCATTTTGAATCATTTCAGTGATAAATCTTTTTTTCTCCTATCTTAATTTTCACTTCCATGTATATAGAAGGAATAAAAGGAAAGACAAAGACAGCTATTTTTAAATTAATTTGATGAGTAACAACAGGACTGATGACATAAGCCACTTGGAATCATTTTTTTTTAAAAAGCTATTCTAAATTTCCATATGAGTTTTATGAATGTGTCTGTGCTTAGTTCTAAAATCCACAGCTCATGAAAGTATGTGTGTGTGTGTGTGTGTGTGTGTGAACTCAATCCCCCACCCCAAGGAAGCCACTGGTACCTTTGATGCTCGAGGCCACAGAAGACATGTTGATGATGTTGCCAGATTTCTGAGCAAGCATCTGCAGAGACAAAGTAAAAGCATCTCTACTCTGTGGGGTGAGACACATTAGCACTGACTCCCAGCCAGCTAGACCCCTTTCTTTGTTTTTTGTCTTTTTTTTGTTTTTTTGAGACAGGCTCTTACATGATAGCCCAGACTGGCCTTGAATTCCAGATCCTCACACTTAAGCCTCACAAATGCTGGGATGACAGACGTGTACTGCCAGGTTAGGCTCAATTTAATGACCTGATTAGCTATTAACTTTAATCTATGGGAAACAGTCTTACGTGTGAAGCCACAATCTTTGCCCAATCATTGCAGGGAGCTGGTGGCATGTCTAAACACCCACTGGCATTGATTTCTAAGGCATGCTACCACCTCTTATGGGTACAACATTATTGGCAAGGCCAGGAATGAACCCTAAGCTAAATGGACATGAACAAACATCAGTGCGTTCCAGACGTGGGCAGATAATACTTTATCCAGCATGAGTGCATTGCAGAGGTTTCAAACCCAGGTACCGTGCGGCACCACCCAGGACACTGAAAGACAAAGGACGCAGTCCCTGCCTACAGCAGACGATCAGTCCGATTGATATAACTAGAAGCCAGCAATAGTGGAGATATGCAGAGAGCCGGGGAAAGGATGGGTCAGGAAGGGCCCCTCTGGGGCTGGGGAGCTGCTGAGGAGGAGGAAAAGGGCTAACACTATATTGTTAGTCATAGAACCAGAAGACAAACACCAGGGTGCTTCAAGGAGGAGGTACTACACGAATAAGGTCTCCACGAGGGACCCGGGAGGTGGGGATGGGTCTGGCTGGAACGGAGGCCTGGGAGCAATCAGGCTGCAGAGTGAACCCAGGCTGCTGTGAAGAACTTGGGTTTGACCCTGAGAGCACCGCGGTGACGATGAAGGATGAGGGTGGAAGAGAACCTTCAATTTGGGGATCACAGAGATTACCCTGGTGCCAGGCACAGATGAGAGGAAGCAGAAGCAGTGGTTTTGGAGAGCGTGGGAAAAGCCCAGCTGCAGAGAGATCCAGGACACAGGTGGAGATTGCTTGCTTGCTCAGTACCCCCGAGTGTCACCGCACCAACAGGGAGGATCTGCAGCACACTGAGAGGGAGCACCAACGCAGTAGGACAGCCACCCCCCAACGAAAAGTGTGGCGTTGTCACAAGGAGGGTGTTTGGTACCTACAAAGGACACTCCAGTGACTCACTTGGTACAACTTTCAAATGCAGATGGCTGGGCCCTGTTCCTAATCTGGTCACCCACCATGAGCAATGCAACTATGAATTTTCATTTGGATGTTATTGACCATTACTCAGATACATGTTTCCAGACAACAGACAAAGGTATGGGCACCCATGGATGCTTCTGCAGAAGAAACAGGGAGTTGAGAGAACTTTTGGAGTTGGGTACCAGTTTGAGTGAAGTCACTTGTCAGATGGAGGGCATGGGAAGGAGAACAAAGGCAGAGACTGCGAGTTCAGGCAGCTGCTGGGGGCAGAGCACAAGCCGGAGAACAGGATGCCGGGCATGTGTGTGACATAATGAAGACCAATTAAACGTGGCTCTTTCCAGAAACTGATCTGGACAGGCAGTGTGAAGGACTTAGAGAGAGAAAGCTCTCTCCTGCTGGGTGAGTTCCTTTACCAGGTTTCAGAGGAAATGCAGGAAAGGAGTTTGTGACTGATGGATCTAGAGCTGGGGTGGCCAAGGTGATCTACTTCCTTGTGGTAGTTTTCTTACTTTCCATATTCATACTTGGGACTAATTAGACCCAAGATCAAAGAGCGTAGGGCAAGCTGCAAGGCCCTGGGCTGCATGGGCTAACAGCACATGGGAGGCTGATGTGACCAACCGTGTCAAGGGATGCAGCAGAGGGGAAGCAACGTTTTACTTTCATGTGTCTTTTTTTTCTCTTCTTCTTTCCTTCCTTTCTTTCTTCCTTTTTTTTTTTTTTTTTTTTTTTTTTGAGGCAAGGTTTCTCTGTATAGCCCTGGCTGTCCTGGAACTCCCTTTGTAGACTAGGCTGGTCTTGAACTCACAGAGATCTTCTGCCTTTTAGTGTTGGGACTAAAGCTGTGTGCCACCATGCCAGGCTGCAATGTGCCTTTGTACATGATAAAGGGGATCGTAAGCCGGGCATGATGGCTCCTGCCCTGTCCCCTTTAATCCTGGCACTCAGAAGCCTGCAGTTGTTACAGGAAGTTGTTCTGGGAACTGAACTCAGGGCCTCTGGAGAAGCAGCAAGTGCTTTTAACCTCTGAGCATCCTCCTGCCCAGAAACATACTTTTGAGGGAACAGCAAGTTCCAAAGGTCCTGTTAAAGCACTAATCAAGTACTCAAAGGCATACCTTCAGGCTGGGAGGCAGAGGCAGGCAGATCTCTGTGAGTTCAAGGCCAATTTGGTCTACTTAGTGAGTTCCAGGACAGTCAGCAGCATAGTGAGCCAGTGTCTCAGGAAAATAAAAGCATATCTTTGTTGCAACTGAACTGGTTCTGTCTTCAGTTAGTCCCATTCACTGTCTGCTACTTACTGGTTTAAAAGCTCATGTCAGATCAGGGTTACCGACCTCCTACACGACCTCCTACACTTACACCCTTCCAGAGCACCCAGAAGAGCTCACTCTAGAAAGCATGTGATGATTTGTTTGAAAAGCAAAATATAGGTTGAGCATGGTGGGGTACACTTTTAATCCCAGCACTGGGGAGACAGAGACAAGCAGATCTCTATGAGTTTGAGGCCAGCCTGGTTTATATCCACCAGCCAGGGCTACATGGTGAGACTGTGTCTCAAGAGAAAGGGGCTAGAGAGATGGCTCAGTGATTAAGAGCACTGGCTGCTTCTGCCGCCTGTAATTCCAGTCCCAGAGGATGTGATGCCTTCTTCTGGCCTCTGGGAGTACACAGATACCCATGCAGGTAAAACACCCCACACTCATAAAATAAAATAACTAAAGAAAACTCACAATTCTTTGTGAAGGGAAAAATCCCCGGGGGCATAAGCACCTCGACAGAGCATGCTCAGACCTGGAGGCGTGAGCGAGCTTTATAAACTGAGTCTACCACTTGCTCATGGCATGAGCCCCGGCTCCTTCCCTGCCTTCTCAGGTTTGTCCTCTGTGAAGTCAGCGGATGTGATGAAACCTCACTCACCTCATGGGACCACTCAGTTCCTGAAGCAAGAAGCCAGTCCATCTCTCCAGACACTCCCTCCCTTCTCTCTGAGAATCCCACTTTGCCAGTGAGGCCCAAGAGGGCCTCACCATTACCCTAGTTCCTTTGCGTGGTACTCATAGCTGCCAATTTATATTACACGCCAACGGAGTTTCTCACCCTTCCCAAATGGGAACTTTGTTAGGTCCACTGGAGGGTCTCCTGGGTGTAGCATGGAGCCTGACAATGTTGAAATGCTTAATCAATATTCCCGAATGTAAGAACTGGAAGGCTGAACAGATTACTCTCGATAAACAGCCTTGCTGTAAATGCTCTATGTACACGAGTCAACGTGCTAGCTATGATCATACTCAAACACACGTGCATATCCTCGCTGCACCCAGTGTGAAAGCTCACAGTCTGGATGCTGTCAGTCCTCTTACTTTGGGAAGGAATGCCTTGATCATCAGGTACATGCTGCGGACGTTGAGATTCATTGAGAAGTCCCAGTCTTTTTCCTCGCAATCCAGGATGGTCCCATGGTGGACAAAACTGAAAGAGAGATTAATGGGGAGGGGGCATGTCAAAACTCACCAGGAAAGTGCTTGCTAGCATGCCCTGGGATTATAAGAACAAAACAACATACACAAACTCCTGCAATTACAACCTTTTTCTAAACTGAGTGACGGTGGTGCATGCCTTTAATCCTAGCACTCAGGAGGCAGAGGCCAGTCTGGTCTACAGAGTGAGGATAGCCAGTGCTGTTACACAGAGAAATCCTGTCTTAAAACAAACAAACAAACAAACAACAATAACAACAAAACCCTCAGCTTTTTCTCATCTATTTAATGATCACTTTTCTTGTCAAGTACAAGTTAGACCATTTTTTCCTTTTTAAGACTTTATACAACTCAAAATAGTATAATTTAACATATTATGGTAGTAAGCAATGCAACATTTTTATGTGAAAACATCCTTTTTCAGGGCTGGTGGATAAAGATGTCGGTCTCCAAACCCAATGGCACAAGCTCCATCTCTGGGACCCACAAAATGGAAATAAAGAAATAACTCCAGCTGGTTGTATGATCTCCACACATGTGGACACACTCATAAAACACATACATGTAATTAAAAAAAAAAAAAAAAGGAATTGAAGCTGGGCGTGGTGGCACACACCTTGTAACCTCAGCACTGTGGGGCAGAGGCAAGCAGATTTCATGAGAATGAGGCTAACCTGCTCTACAGACTGAGTTCCAGGCCAGCCAGAGCTATAAGGTGAGACTCTAAATAAAAAAGGAAGATAGGCTGGACATGGCCCTTGCTGCCGAGTCTAGAGGCCGAGTCTAGAGGCTTTAGTTCGATTCCCAGAGCGTGTCTTCTGCCCTCCACATATATGCCATAGAGCTCTCTCACACACATTAAAAACAAAGAAAAAGGAGAAAAACAAAACAAAACAACCCCCCCCAAAAAAAACCCCAAACCCCAATCATCCTTTTGAAAGGACAAAGCAGGAACTGCCAAACTTAAGAATCTCAGTACCAGGGGCTTTGGAAATGCTAGTGCTGGAAAAACAGACAGAAAGCAAGTGAGGACAGCTGTTCCATTTGATTCCTGTTCCCAGGGTGACAGTGCCCTCAGGTGGCACAGGCTAAAGTTCTACAGGGAAGTCAAAGCTGGAAGGAAAAGCAGCGTCTCCAAATATCGGTGTAGAGAAGTAACATTGTGGCTGTCTGCTGCTTGCTTGTAGCACAGTGCACAAACCCTCCTACATCAGTGCAGCAAAGCAACGCTGTGGATGTCTGCGTCTGTCACAGTGCACAACGGAGGAAGAACAGCCACTCTTCCTCAAGGACACTTCCTGAACATGGCAGCCTTACAGACTCGGTCCTCTGCTGAGGCTACTTAGTCAAATACAAGATGTAGTCGGGGATGGTTCCTATGTACTACAGGACTTCCGGTAGTCACTCAGTCAGCTTCCCGTACCAAGAACCACACATGGTTTCCTGCATCTTCTGCAATGCTAGAGACTGAAATGATGCTCGCAAACCAATAGCGGTGTCTCCAGATACAGCCTCGTAGAAGGACAAACAGATCATTTATGAAAGGAAAGGTCAGGAGTCACTGTTTTGCTTAATTTCCATATTTTGCATCAGTATTCACTCCCTTCCTTAGCTTTAATTGCCTGTGGACCCCAAGTCCATGTCAAATGACACAGCTGTCCCTTTGCTGAGTGATGTGTGACATCTAGCCTGACTTCCCAAGGAATAAGTCATGCTTTGCCAATTAATCATTCCTTTATCCTACCAATATTCATTTAATAAAATCACAAAACGTTCTCAGGGTGAAATAAAAGGTTTAAAATTACCCAGCAACATTAAAGAGGACATCAATTCTTTCAACTTCTGAGGCAAACTGATCAATTTGCTTTTTCCTTGTGACATCAAGGACTCGAGTTTGAATACCTGAAGAATAAAGTAAAAGACAATTTTTATGTAGAATTCATAAAATAAGTAACTGTGAAGATTTGGCTGTCTTGTGGTGTGAAGTGTGAAGAATATAACATTTCCATTTAGGCTGCATGGGACTTGCAGCTAATGCTGGAGTTCTGGCCATCTCAAGAGGGTCATTAAAATGCACAAGTCTTAGGCTGGAGACATGGCTCAGGGGTTAAGAGCACTTATTGTTCTATCAGAGGACTGGCGCTCACATCCCAGCTGTCACATTAGGGGACTCACAGACACCTGGAACTCCAGCTCTAAGGGATCTTATACCTCCTTTTGGCCTCTGTACCCAAACGCGTGCGTGCGCGCGCGCACACACACACACACACAAAGAATAAAATACATCTTAAAACAAAACAAAAACAAAAACAAAAAAACAAACCCTTCCAAAGATGTACAGATCTTAAAGTGGCATCTTCTGCCACTTCAATAAGATCTCTGCTAGGGTCTACACAGATAACTCAGCAGTTAAGTGTTGTCGGCTTTTTTGGACTATCTGGGTTTGATTCTTGACATCCCTGTGGTGGTTAACAACTGTATGTAACTCCAGTTCTGGAGGCTCCATCGCCCTCTTATGGCCCCTATGGGTATTGCACTTGGTGTCAGTAGGCAACTGCACACTTAAAATAAAAATTTAGAAACTGTAAGATGAAAATTTCTGTGTGATACAGGGGGTTCCACCTTTTCATGACATGTCTCCATTTTCCTTCCAGTAAAATAAAAGTATTGATAAAAATGCAACAGACAAACAAACAAGAGAGCAACAAATTTCCCATTGCCTTTTAGCTGTTAATGGGGCTGCAAGCACTTTTGTAGGAACTCAAGAGGATCCTAGCACGTTCCTGGTGACAAGACTACTCCGGAGAAGTCATGAGCGGCAGTGGAGCTGTCATTAATAGTTAACCCGACAGCTGTTAATTCTCACAGAACTTTGTAACTGGGAGCAACATCCCTTAACATGTTGTGCAATAGAAAACCTTAAGTATGTCCCTTCAGATCCCTACATTTCTGCCTGTACAGACAGAAATGTCTGTTTCTGTACACACAGAACACACGAAGGAGCTGGACTCTGAGACCGGTGTCTGGAGCAGCTAGAGCTTGCGTTCCTGCTCAGTATCTCTGCTTTCTAAAACCAGGCCAGTTCTGAGCCTGCAGTCAAGTTGCTCACCTGGGTACTTTTCCAGCTCCTGGAGTTTGGACTCATTGATGTCTGTGGCTATGACTTTGGCTCCTTCTTTTGCAAAAGCCTGCCAGAAGGGAAATAGAAATCAGTCCTCTGCTTACTTGAATAAACTGCTCTCAAAAGTGGAAACCGTTTTCTTCCTTTCAAAGTATTTTTACTGTTTTTCCTATAAAATATGTAGAATTTCCACCTATCTAGTCTCATTTCCCCTTACCCCACCGTAATTGTTTTTTGTCAGTCATTAGAGAGCAGCATGGTAGACATTGCATTTTCCATCTGACTTTGTCTTTTTTGTCAAACAATATTAGCATTTTCTTTTAAGACTCTAACTCGAGACTGGAGAGATGGCTCAGCTATTCAAAGCTGGCTGCTCTTCCAGAGGACCTGGGTTTGGTTCCTAGCACCCATATGGCAGCTCACAATTGTCTGTATCTCCAGCTCTGGTAGATCTGATAACCTCTCCTGACCTCTGCAGGTACCAGGCAAAGCACTCGGATACATAAAATAAATATAAAGAAATAAACAGAAATAAACATTAAAAAAAAAAAAAACCCTCTAACTCAGAGCTGGGTGTTAGTACACTCCTTTAATTCAGCACTCGGGAAGCAGGGGCACAGGGATCTCTGTGAGTTTGCGGTCAACCTGGTCTACACAGAGTTCTAGGCCAGCCAGGGCTGCATAGTGAGACTCCGTTTCAATAAACAAACAAACACTTTCCCCAACACCTGTTTCTGAAATAATGTTGCTATCCCACGATGAGACCCCTATCTATGTTTCCTCTTTCCCATTTATTTATCTTTCATGTATGTGCTTGTGTGTGCGGGCATGCAATGTGGTCGGCATGTAACGGTAAGAGGGTAACTTTGTGGAGTCATTTTCTCCTTCCTCTTTCCAGGGGTCGAGCTTGGGTCTCAGGGCTTGGATGACGGGGCCTTTACCTGCTGGGCGGGCTCTGACTTCCATGTGCCATTTGTGAGCAATGAGTAAAAAACTTAATAAGACAAAAACAGGAAGATTCCCTCCAAGGACGACAGCAGCAGCAGCTTCATAACCGCCAGCTCACACTCAGCATTGCACTCCAAGTACATTACCAGTCAGCTCGGGGTGCAATGAGGGAGAAACTGAGGCACCTCAGCACAAAATGACTAGAGCTTGATAACTCTGGGGTCTTAATCGTAAACTGACACAGTCACAGAGCCCTCTAGAGCCCTGCGGCCAAGTCAGTTCATCACAGTGCAGAAAAGTTGGGGCAGAGAAACATGATTCTCAGGGTTAAAAGTTATGTGATGCCACTTAAGCACAAGGAATTCCTTTCTTCTTCTCTGTCGGGAAATTTTCTCTTGAAGTAAGATGCCTGGGCTGGCAAGATAGCTCAGCAGATAAGGGCGTGTGAGGAAATTCCCACACAGCAGGAGCTCCCTCCCTACCTGGATTAGTCACAAACTGCCTCCAAACACCGAGTGTCACAGAGAGATCCTTTATTAAGCAGGGAAGAAAAGTTAAAGTGGCTGCTTTCTGACTCAGGCCTGACAGCAGCAAGTGTGACCTTGCAGGTGTGATTTTTAAGAAGAGTGTTGGAGTGGGCTAGGACGAGGTGATAGATTTTGATTGGGCAGGCTAGGACGAGGTGGTAGGTTTTGATTGGGCATGTTCATTAGGTGAACCAAAGGGCGCTTTTGGTTGATGGACTTTGGTGGCATCCTTGGGAATGAGTCTGGCATAAGAAAGTGTCCAAATAAGGGAGTAGACCTTGGTGGCTAGCTTTAGGGATGCAATCTATGCTTTACAAGGGGGAGGGAGGAGGTGAGGGTATGCCTGTTTGCCAAGCCCAGGCCTGCTAGAGCCCTTCAGCACTCACCATACAGGCCCAGAGACCTGACTTCAATCCCTGCAATCCATGTCAAAGAGAAAGGACCAGTTCCACAGGGTGGTCTTCTGACCTTCACATTTCACCATGGTGCATGAGTTACAGCCAACACACACACACACACACACACACATGCACTCATGCACGCACACCACCTACACACACGCTCACACACACGCTCACACACACGCTCACACACGTACACACACATAGACACACACACAGACACACATGCATGCTCTCACACACACACCACATACCACATATACACACATATACACACACCACATACACACACTCCACACACACGCTCACACACTCACACATGCACACTCACACACACATAGACACACACACACGCATGCTCACACACACATACACACCACATATACACCAAACACACACATATGCACTCTCACACACACACTCACACACATACACACCACACACGTACACACACATACTCACACACACAGACACATACATACACATGTTCATACACATATACATGCTCACACACACCACATACACACACATACATACCTCATACATACCACACACACACCACATACATACACACACATGCACACTCACACACGCACACGCACACTCACACACACCACATACACATACTAATAAATTGAAAAAGACAGACATATTAAAGGTAAAAACAGAATAGAAAGGATACAAATACAGCTAGCTCAGTAGTAGGAGTATATGCTTAGCACGCTTGAGGTCCTGGGTTCTATTCCAAGCTGCAAAAAGGAAGAAAAATAAGAAGAAAACCAAAGGAAGGGAGGAGGGAAGGGAGGAGGAATAGGAAAGAGTACATGAGAACGAAATAACGGGTGCCAGCCTGCCCATCTGCAGGCTGTGGCAGGAAGGCTGGGCAGGCGTGAACTTACTAATGCAGAGGCCCGGCCGATCCCTTGAGCAGCAGCTGTCAGGACAATAACCTTCCCTTCCAGTCGGCCCATGGTGGAACCTGCAGCCCAATCCAAAGACACATGCCTTTAATGGCCCAAGTTGTAGCCAGTCAATCGTGCAGGCGGTAGGTAACATCTGGAATGAACACATCAACTTGCTCCTTTAAGAACATGGAGAAAGGGCATCTGTACACACTGTCCCACCACTCAATGCTCAGGAGTGCTCCCCTCGGTGCCCAGGACATGGCTCCAAGTGCACAGCCCAGCCCGCTGAAGCAATGACTGGCGAGGGACACTGGGCTGGAGTCTAGCTTTGCTTCCTGCGCTGATACTGAGAAGGATACTCTGATACTCCTCTGATGCTGAGACCAGAGAGGAGAGTTCCCTCCCTCACAGCCCCACTGCCTAGCCCGTGTTTTATGGCAGCCTTCCTGTCTGTCCTCGCTATTTGGGGTTGTTTTTCAGTTTCTCTTCTGAAAACTGTTAACCACAGCCACACCATTTTGAAAAGTTCCAGTAGTTTCCTGAAACCTCAGGAATCAGCATCACAGGATTAAAGTCACTTGTTTTCCTAGATCCCTCTCCCTGCCCACCCTCCCATGCACCCCACAGACCCTCTGATAACCTCGGGCCAAAGGAGATTGCTTATCCACCTATCCGTCACGGGACATTATTTTACTTACTTGCCACTATTATTTGGTCAATGCTAGCAAAGGCAACGGATGCAATGACACCTCCTTTCTGCCCATCCGTTTGTGTCCTGTAGCTACCTCACAGAGGGCGGGCTCTGCAATGAGAGCCTTCACTGTCACAAGTCACCTGTTCCTTTGTCTGGAGACTTTTGCTGAGTCACAGAGGCAGACCCTTGAGGTTTTTCCTTGTCCCTTGAAAAGATTTCACAGTGGGCCTTAAGATTCGCTGACCAGAAGGGCTGGGAAATCAAACCCTAGCCCATGCCTTCCTTTTGCAGAAGAGCATGAGGAATGTGTCTGACTCCATTTTGAAGGCAGGAGCCATTCTGCTGTGTTGTTAAAAACCAGTTTCTGTCTGGAACCCGATCTGCCCCAAGCCATGGCCTTGACGTGTTTTTTGGGAACTCACAAACCCTCCCAGTTCTCAGGGTGACCATATGAAGATGGCTGCAGTGTTTTTTCACATTATTCAGTACTTAATGCTCCATTGTTTTCTGTAAACCTGCTTTGCAACTCCTGACTTGACTCCTTAAAAGGATCCTAAGACTCAGAGCTGTGCTTGGGTGCTCTCTCTCTCTCTCTCTCTCTCTCTCTTACATACCACTACAGTTCCCCCTCCTACCCCTCTTGTCCCCAACTGCCCCTCCCCATCTAAGGCCTCCCAAGGGGAGTCAGTAAAGCCTGGCACACTGGCTGCTGTCTCTGTAGCCTGATTTAGGAGGCAGCCACTGACCCTACTCTCTGTTCACTCCAGTAAAAATCAAGATGGCGCCGGGCAGCGATGCGTGCCTTAGAGAAGGGGTGGCCAGGCCACAGAGAAGGGAAGAGTGATTTGAAAAGTTCGTTTGCTGCAGCCACCAATCAGGGAAAACCTATTGGATGAGTGTGAAGTCTTCACATTCCCTCTGCTCAGCCATCCTCCAAAAGAGTGCCTGGGGGCCAGCCTTGGCTTGAGGGCTTGTACTTTGTCCTTTCTTTTTTTTTTTAATGTTTTAAAAATGATTTACTTTTTTTTTTTTAAATTTTATTTGCATTTGTGTTCTGTCTGCATGCGTGTCTGTGTGAGCTGCCATGTGGGTGCTGGGAGTTGAGCCCAGGTCCTTTGGAAGAGCAGCCAATGCCATCTCTCCAGCCCCCCACCCCCCAACCTGTCCTTTCTTTCGCCCTTACCTGTCTTCTTTGGCTAGGTACAGTTCTTAGGTGTTTCTGTTCCTGCTTCTGCCCCTCCCGTAGTCCCGCATACCCCATGTGCCCTTATTTCTTTCCACTCCATTACATTTGCTCCTAACTCCACGGGACAACTGTCACCGAGACCATCAGGGAGAGCACCGGGGATGCTCAGATTTATATTTTAGGGTCTATCCCTGCTAGAAGAGATGGGCAGGGCAGTGAGTTAGTAGGAACAGGAAATGGCTGCAGCTGTCTAGAAGTGTCTGGAAGGCAGTGCGTTGATAGCTCTGAAACCCTGGTCAAAACACACCCCTGACTTCAGCCCCATGGGTGACCAGGCCCTGTGTGTCATCTGGAAGCACTCCCCACCCGCCCTGGCTCCATCCAAATGCAGGTTCAAGAGAATGCTGCCCTGTTCTCCTAACCGCCAGCAGGATTTAGATGCCCATTACCGTGTACCTTTCATCCTCCAGTAACTGACCCTGGGGACACTTTGTTCTCCATTCCCACACTGGGGCAGAGCACCATGGATGGATGTATGGACCTTGTGTGTCCCCTCCTTAGGCCCCCACCCACCCCACCGTAGGTCACCCCCACTGTGCAGCGCTCAGGGCGCTTCTGCCCAAGTCGGCTTCATGTTTTTCCTCCAGTCCTCTCTCTGGTCCTCCAGGCTGGGAAGCCTCTCTCATCGGCACCTGGTCCCTTTTCCTTTTCTCTCACCATAGTGTCTGCCGAATAAAAGCCATGTCTCTTGGGTTCCTATTACAGCCTTCCCCTCAAGATCCAGCCTGCCACAGTCACATCACAGGAGGGAGCTTCTGGCACCATCCAGCATCCCACTAGGCTGTGCTCCAAACACGTTCGCGTGTAGGACAGGAGAAAAGCAGTTTTCCCTGGGCCTCCCTCCTCTGACCCAGTGTGCCTTCACTGACACACACACACACACACACACACACACACACACAGAGAGAGAGAGAGAGAGAGAGAGAGAGAGAGAGAGAGAGAAAACTCACTTTGAGTGTGGCAGGAGTTGAGAGAAAGGCAAGTTGTGCCTTTGGAAAGGGCTTCAGCAGTCCCTGCCTCCCCCAGTCCTGAGGACAGGATAAGAAACCTACTATCCTGTGCCTTCATAGCAAAGCTGGACCTCCACCCGCTCAAGCAATGGTCCTCATCCTTCCTGATGTTGCCACCCTTTAGTATAGTTCCTCATGTTGTGGCGACCCCAATCATAAAGTCCCGTCCTTGCTAGTCATAACTTGCTACTGCTATGAATCCCAATGATTCAGATATGAATCAGATATGAATCCCATATCTGATATGTCCATAGGGTTGTGACCCACAGGTTGAGGACCAGCGAGGGCATCTGCTACAGGCTTCCTTAAGCATCTCCATGGCCCTAGTGGTGCCCAGGGTATAAAGTTTCCATTCTGTTTACTTCCAAAGCTCCCTCCAGCTGGCCTCCTGACTGTTCTGGAAATAGATGACTTAAGGGGTCAAAGCCCTGAAGTTAGGAACGCAGAATTCTCAAAGCAACATGGATGAGTGGAACATATGCACTCTAAACCACGGTGGCTTTCCTATTCTAAAGACTGCAGTAAAACTTTGGATTTCGAGCACTTTCAGGGATTCCAAATATTTTCACGAGCCAAAATTTACTTAGGGTAGACACTGGAAAAGATCTCTTTCTTTGGCTATTTTCAAACTCTAAAAAAAAAAAAAAATATATAGGGGAATTTCTGACCCCCTTAAGGAGTTATCCCATTCTAAAAGGAGACATGAAGAACAAGGCGACAAATGTTATACATCTTACCCCCCACAGTTTTGTTATAAACTATTAGATATAGCTTACTTCAGAATATGGGGTCCTCACAGTCCTCCGGATCCCTTCAGAAGACAGACTTCAGATCTTGTGCAGAAGTCACATGCTGACTAAATGCATGCTGGGAGGTGGAGTTCAGGTTCCTGCTGAGACCTTTGCTAATTGTGGTTTTGTGAGGTTTTAAAAGAAGCGTTGAACTTTAATGTGTCCATGTTGCCATCTAGTGGACAGAACGCAGAACTGTTAATGCCAAGCAGGAAGTCCAGTCTTTTGTTTGCCTGTTATAGCCAGTGATATTGAAGGATCAGAAAAGGGCAGGTGGAAGACAGCAGGGCACATGCAAGGCACCCAATGCACTGAACATTCCAGTCACCCTAGTCCTGAACTCAGACTGCTTATGGGGAGGAAAAGAAAACTTCCGTGTCTAAGGTCTGGCATTAACCTCTTGTGTGTAGTCGGGTCTAACACATTCACCTGCAGCTGCAGAACACTGGCACCCTGGCTACCTGGGCCTGGGCATGGTGGAGTGCATCCAGCTTGAATGGAGCCTTGAAAGGAACAGAGTGGAACAACAGAAAATCAAGTCGGCTGAAGAAAACGGCTACAAAGCCTAAAGGGAAGCCATAGATCTGTGGGGGGTGGGGAGGAGGCTCTCTTGGCAAGACCAGAGACTTGTGGGTGAGTCTGATCGGTGTGATTGGGCACAGTGAGTATGTAGGTCATGTGTGAATGTCCTACATAAATCGGGGCACTCAATGCGTGTGCGGCACACTTTGCCATGGCCTCTTGCGCTGTGAAGGCTACAAAACAAAGCTATTGAATTCCAGCCTCCTTTGTTGCCAGGCTGGCCACCACACAGATCCGGCCAGGGAGATGCAGGCTGCACTTTCTGAGGGTTTCTTCCTTGAAGGGCAAGGTGATGCCTCTCAGGAGGTGCTGGCTCCTGCTCCTCTTTCTGAGCAGCAGCTGTGGTGTGGGTTTAATGGTCGGATGCATACGGGGAAGGACAGAGCAGAGCAAGACAAGGAGCTGTCCCTTCAAGGCCGGTTTGGGTGACTCCTCTGCACTCTGTGGGTGCACAAACTTCTGATCACTGCTTGTCAGTGTTTTGTGTTTGTTGTTGCTGGTGTTGCCTGGGAATAACTTGGTTAGGAATAATGAAAACAAACAAAACAAAATCACAGGGCTGGCTATCTTGCTCAGTGCTAGTCTCCCATGCCACAGGCCATGGGTTCAGTTTCTAGCACCTCATAATGGTGGCACCATGCCTGTGATCCCAGCACAAGGAGGAGATGTAGGAGGATCATGAAGGCTGCCTAGTAATTTCAAGGCCAGCCTGAACCACCGAAGATCCTTACTCAAAACAGGAACTAACCTCTCTCAAACACGGGGGGGGGGGGGGGGGGGAGAGAGAGAAGAAAGGAAAGGAAAGAAAGAAAGAAAGAAAGAAAGAAAAAAGGTTTGGTTTAAAAATAAAAACACTTGGGCAAGTCTTATGTTTCTCCTCGATAACTGAGTAAACAAGACCTGTAAAATGGCAAACTCGTCAGTTCTTATATGGGAAAGGAGAATAAAACAGCAGTTATACTAAGCATGTGTCAAGGAGGAGGTGTGGTGTGCAAGCTCAGTAGCCCAGTAACTGATAGACACATGCTGGATAAATGTCAGCTTTTTACAGAAAAACTAAAGTGTAGTAATTGACAGTATCTGTTGCCCTTTAGTTCTGCACGGGTCCTTCAGGCTCTGGAGGGCTCCTGCTGCCGAGCAATGCTCTTTCGTTTCACAAAGACCCTAGTGCTGAATCCAGAGGTGAGCTCACTCACATCTGGCTGCGCTCTGTGCTCTAATAAACATGTCTTTCCCTCTACTTTCCAGGGATTTGAAAGACTTTTTTTTTTTTTCTCATAGCAAGAGTGTTCTGAGACCGACCTCTGCATCTCTTTCTTAATATTGAACATTTAAATCCAAGGGACACATCTGTAGTCCCTGGATTTGGGAGGTCAAAGTAGGAGATTCCAAAGACAAATGGCTTCACAGCAGGACCTACTCTCAGAAGAAGAAAAATTCCCATCCAGATGTGATTTCAGTCCCGAGAGAAGCAGGACTGTAGGGACACTAGGCCACTCCTGCATGTGGCTCTGGCAGTCCTTGCCCTTCTCCAGGGTTCTAGTTGATTTGCTAAAAACTGTTAGATAGCATTCCTGGAGCTAGCCCCCAAGGTCCATTCCCTTATTTGGCCAATCCCCCCTCCTGAGGCTGACTATTAAGGTCCAGCTGTCAAAGTATTGAAATCTAGCAATCAAAAGGTCCCCCCTCCTTGGGAGGAGGGGCCATGTGAACAAGGGGGTTCAAGACCATGATGGGGAGAGGCACAGAGACAGCTGACTTGAGCTAGCGGGAGCTCATGTGGACTCTGGACTGACAGCTTGGGAACCTGCATGGGACTGAACTAGACCCTCTGAATGTGGGTGACAGTTATGTGAGTTGATCTGTTGGGGGAACCCTGGCACTTGGACCAGAACTTGTCCCAGGGGCATGAACTGGCTTTTTGGGGTCCATTCCCTATGGTGGTGGAGTCCATTCCCTCAGCCTTGATAGAGGGGGAAGGGCTTGGTCCTGTCTCAACTTGGCATGCCAGACTTTGTTTACTCCCCAAGGAAGGCCTTTCCCCCTGTGATGACTGGATGGGGATGGGAAGAGGGAGAGGTGGGTGGGGGGAGAGGAGGAGGAGGAAGAGGAGGAGGAGGAGGAGGAGGAACTGGGGTTGGTATGTAAAATGAAAAATAAAATTTTAAATAAAAAAAATGCCCCTTTGGTTCACCTAATTAATATGCCCGATTAACATTACATGCCTCATCCTAACGCAGGGCTCCCCCTCTTACCTTTGTAAACTGTTTTCCTATGTGCTACGTCTGTCTCAGGAACAAACACCCCTGCCTTTCCCTTGTTCCCTTCCCCTTCTCCCTTGTCCTCTATCTGCCTTGTCCCTCTGAGGCAAATAAATCTCCCTTAGGCTTGGGGTCCTGAGCTGGTAGCTTTTCTCATATGGTTCCTCGAACCAGATTCGGTCTACAGGAGCCTCCCTTAGTCCAGCTTTCACATTCAGACCTTCCCGTGCTGGCCTTCCAACATCAGCTAACTGGCTTTTCATTGTTGTGAAGAGAGACCATGACTACGGCAAGAAAGAGAACGTATAATATAATTAGGGGTGGCCTCGAGGCTGTCGAGGCTAAAGTGGAGCTTTCGAAGCTTTGGGGGAGCCTGCGGTGTGCACGATCTTTAAAAAGTAGGGAAGGCTTTTGTAGACCGTAGTGTCTTAGACCTGCCTGTGAAGTGTCTGTAAGGAGGGGACAACCTGGAGGACACAGAAAGATGGTAAGGCAGGGGAAGGTCTGTCTGGTTCTCAGAGACAAACGGTCAAGCTGAAATCCCTAGGACAAAAATCGACAGCTAAGAGGAGAGTGTGCTAAGGAGCTTCTGGAAGGCTTTAACCCCGATGAGTTCAGAGGACACCTGTGACCTGTGAAGATGGCCCAGCGGATGGAACCTTTTCCTGATGTATTAGGCCTTGCTTATTTATGCCTCACTTGAGCATCTTCGTAGTTCTGGGATCACATGGCGCTTGCTGAGGACAGGTGACAAGATTTTCAGGGTGCTTCCCCAAGATCACCTTTGTAACCCCCATTTGTACTATGTGCTATGGGACGCTGGTTTGGGGTGTTGTCTCACGTGGCCCATCTTCTGAAAAAAGGTTTTGTTATATAAATGACATAATGCTAATCTGTGACCTGTGTTTTGCAAATTTGGAGTCATTGGAGAGACAAGGTACTTCCACCTACATTACTGGGACTGGGTGCATCGAAAAGGAAAAAAAAAAAAAAAAAAAAATGCAAAAGGTTCCCTCATGGTGGAAAAGAACACCCCTCGACATAAGGTTATTGCATGAAAACCCCAGTGCCGGGGTGGGCTACCTCCGCGTCAACTGTTGGCTAGGGAAGCCCTCTAGGCCTCACAAACCATAAAGGCTTATTGCTACTGATGTATGTCAAAACCAGCAGTAAGACCCCGTCCCGTTCCTGGAGACCCCGCATGTACATGCTGTGACTGCAAATACGGAGAAACTAAGCTGGGACTGAACTGGAAACAGCCTTCGCAGTGCCAGAGGAGCCACATAAGTCGCTAGTGAACTGTCACCAGTGTTCCTATGGACCAGGCATGCTACGATACCAAACACCAGACACGATGGACCTGCTTGTGCAATAGTGGCTTGGCTGGCATGGGGGAGACCAGCAGCCTCCTGGTGAAGGCCTGCTCCACAAGAGGGTTCATGGAGTACTGGAAAAGCTTGTGGCTGGGGAGGTCATAGGTGGCATTCACTTTGGTCTGTCGTGGGCTATCTATCTGGGGTGAGTAGACACGTGTGTTCTGTCTTCCCAGGAAAAGTTTTGGCATATAAAATAGCTTTATATTAATTTATGTGCTATGTTCTAGAATGATCTAAATCATATATGAGTAACTTTAATGAAATGTATACATGTTGTGCCCATATGGAAAGATAAAGTTTTCCTTCAAGAACTTTATTCTTTGCAATATATAAAAATAAATAAAACAGTCCAACTTTTGTGAGTGTCACAAATAGAAGAAGAAGAAGGAGAAGAAGGAGAAGAAGAAGGAGGAGGAGGAGGTATTGCTATCACACCATTCTATATAACTGGAATAAATTAGTTTCTTGTTCCTCCATCTTCCAATTACAGGCAAAGTGAAAATTAGACTGAAATTAAGTTGGACTGCAACATCACTGTCAGGGTAGACACAGGAAGAAGGCCAGAGGATGCTGTGGTTCCAGAGGATGTTTTGGGTGGGACATCTACTGCATTTTGCACTCAGGTCCATCTTTTCCTGAGGAGGGCTGACAAAGGTCTGCCTTAGGGTCCATGGTCTTTACTTCTGCAGCTGGTTCCTCTGACAAAGAAAAGAAAGACAAATTAACCCTATGTAGATACACACAGAAGCAAGCCCATCATGGAGCAGAGAGGACATTAAAGCAGGAAGGCTGACTGGCTCGTGTGTTGGTGAAGAAGTAGGTACACGAGTTCTATGCTCCATTCTGTCACAAGGTGAACTGTCAGGAAATGACATTCTGCATAAAGACATATGTCTGTGGTAAGACATATTCACAGCCACTTAACTTGAGACTCAGAGTGAACCAAATATGAACTAAGTTTGCTTTCCCTTCATTCCACTTTTACAGAAAGAAAGTATGTTGGTGTCACTCCAGAGGAGTGGCTCTCATAGAAGCTTCCATATTTAATGGTAGTCCTACCTAGTTCCAAAGCCTAAGGACCTCAATGACTGCCCCTGCAATATAGCCACAGTGACACTTTTATCTTGGGGCTAATAAGAGCTATCTATCTAAAGAGATTTACGGCCTGTTGAACAGAGGAGAAATCATTCCTGGTACTATAAACTCACAGCTGCTCACAGCTGGAGATGAGAGGCCAGGGAGGGGAAACCTACTTCTACCACTACCCTAAGCCAGTATCCCCTAACTGTATTCTAAATACATACTCTTTACCACAGGTAAGGGAAGGTCTCACTCCTCATCAAAGAGACCATTACAGAAACTGATCAAAGCGCAGAGAACTGGCTGCGGCTACCCAGTCTCAGTTGATACATCTGCAACACAACTCCTACACCTAAGGCTCAGGCAGAAGAGGCGGTGGAGAGAGTCTAAGAGCCAGAGGACCAGAAAGTCTTTTAGCTATGGCAGGGAAGTTACAACCATGAAATCTCAACACCACTCCCGAACCAAGGCCTGAACAACAGCTAACATTGCAAAGTAGATGGGTGTGTGTGTGTGTGTGTGTGTGTGTGTGTGTGTGTGTGTGTGTGTGTGGTGTGTCTCACAGGGCCCTATCCCTGGATGAAGAGCTAAAAGCAATTAATAATGGTCGAGAAAGGGAGAATTATTCTTCTCCACAGATGAGCTTTCTGACTGGAGCTCCAAGTGGTCAGTTCTGGAAAGATCCATGCAGGCAACAGTGAACATGTTGCATTTACTCTTTATATGTAGAGTTACCAACAGTGGTTAAACAGGAGGGTATGAACAATTCACTTTGAGTTTACATGTATGAGCATCTGCCTGGTGCCCTCAGAGGCCAAGAGAGAGTATTAGATGCCTTGGACTTGGACTTATACAGTAGTGAGCTGCCATGCGGGTCCTGGGAATGGAATCCCAGTCTTCTTGCTGAGCTGCCTCTCTCAAGTTCTGAGTTTTTAAAAATACTATATTGTTTGGTAATCAATTGTGGAATGGGAGGTAGTGGATAGTAGCAATCTCACCGTTTGGGAGGCCACAATTCGAGAGTAGCCTGGGTTATAAAGAAGAACTGTCTAGAAACAGAAATGCCCAAACCTCTAACCCCCAAACCAAATATCACCCCTCAACAGCAAAACAAGCAACAACAAAATGTTACCCTATGTTGCTCAGAGCAGTGGAAATCTCACTCCATCCATCCTATTCTTTGCCCACTATGAACACTACCTGTGCAGCAGCAATCATCTCACAGGGTGGATGGATCATCATAGTGTAGCAGAGTTTGTATGTAAGAAACCTTATTTTACTTAATAGCCCATGAATAACACTAGTGATGCTGGCAGTTTGAACATGCTAATGTGGAGGTATAAATTCCTTTAAGTGAAAGGGGAAGTTTAACTATGATCGGTATGCATAAAAACAAAACACAACAGTACGTAGGATTTTATGCTATCCAGGATTTCGGGGGCCCCTGGAGGGCCTGGAAAGCATCTCTCACAGATAAAAGCGGACTACAGGAATATGAGCTTCACATCTGACCTCTGAGCTGAGTAGGCTTGAGTGGGTGAGGTCAGATGCGGCGCTTCTGCAATTGTGACAGTGACAGCAAGTGGCAAGGGAACAGAGTGAGCCCAAGTCTGGGAAACACCACGAAACTGTGAAGTCAACAGGAAGGTGAGTGCTGGCTGCCGAGCTTCTGAGGGCTCAGCAGATGCCGCCTGTGCACGGGCCTGCTGAGCCCCACACAGGGCCCATCTGTTCTCCCAGCGCATAGCACCTGTGCAGGCACCTACCTGGGCACAGTCCTAAACTCGAGTTATCAAAATAGCGAACTGGGTAAGGTGCCGGGAGAGACTTCGGCCGGTTATCAAAAAGCCATGATTTTGGTGATTCTTTCGGCACAGGATCTTGGAAGTTCTGTTCCCTGAACCGAGAAGGTGTGTTCTGTCTCCTTTTAGAATCTGCGCCAGTCACTTTGGGAGACTTTGGAGAGTTCTCACAAGCTGCTTCCCTGTAAGTGTCTCTTTTAAGGGTTCTTCCCTTCATCGTATCAAGCTTCTTGAAGAGCTGAGATTTATCACTTAAATAGAAGCAGAAAGATCAGATATCTAAATGTGGGAATGGGAAAAATTTAAAAAGAACTCCATCCTACTAAAACATGTAACATGAAACAGCATTTTATTACATGTGTATTTTATCTCCACCCCAACACTCTGTTTGGACTACTTCAATGGTTCAGATGTGAGGAGTTATATAAATTGAATAATTAAAGTAAAATTTGTTTTTTGTGACAAGGTTTCTCTGTGTTTCCCTGACTGCCCTTGAACTCACCCTGTAGACCAGGCTGGCCTAGAACTCACAGAGATCTACCTGCCTCTCTACCTCCCGAGTGCTGAATTAAAGTCATGTGCTACCACTGCCCAGCATAAGCATAAAAGTTTTGATTATTTGATTATGGAGTTTTGCATTACAGAGGTTTTGATTATGAGGGTTTTTGAATGAGTCCACAACACCCAGAGTGGCTGATGAGCTATTGTGCTCAGGGTTATAGGAAGCTTATTGACCCCTTATAGAAGTACATTTTCATCTGCCCTAATTTCTCTTCTCCGTCTTGGTTGTTACTTCTCCACCTCCCTGAATCTATCTACACATGATCAGATTCCTCCTTCAAAATGTAATTTCTTTCAAGTTACCCGCAGCCTGCTTTTTGTTTTGCCGAGACAGGGTCTCTAAGTTGTAATGGCCTTGTCATGGCTTTCCTATCTTTGCCTCCTGAGTTACAACCATACACAGTCTGGCTTCTCTTTTATATTAATGTTAAATCATTAGGCCTGGGATATTTTATTCATCTACTCATTTCTGCAGTGCTGAGGAATAGAAGCTAGAGCCTTGAGCATGCCAGGCAAGCATTCTGCCACTGAGCTATACCGCCAGCCCTTTACACTTAATGTGTTGCGTCTGTGGCACAAGAAGTTCTACACTTCTATGGTAGGAGAAGCTGATAATCCAATGTTGCAAGTATGTCTAAAAACAGGGTACACTAAGGGACTGGGGTCCTTTGGGACACAGCTTCACTGACTGTGCCAGCTGTTTTTCAATGCCCTTCATTTTCTGGTCCTTGACCTAGTTACAAGCATGGTTTAAGTGGGTAAAGTACTTAAGTTTTAATTCCGAGAATCTGGAGTTAAAAAAAAAAGCTGGGTGCACAGTCCATGCCTGTATCCGGTCCTGGGGAGATAGAGGCATGAAGCTCTCTGGGGTTTGCTGAATCAGCGAGAGACCCGGTCTCCAAACACACTGGAGAACTGCCCGAGGAAGACACTCACACTGACCTCTGGCCCCCATGCACCAGTGTGTACAGTTAATAGATAGCAAACGTGAAGCAAAGCCATTTTATTTATCTCTTGACAGGGTTTCTCTGCATAACCCTGGATCTCACTCTGTAGACAGGCTGACCTCAAACTCAGAGATCTGCCTGCCCCTGACTCCTGAGTGCTGGGATTAAAGGTGTGTGCCACCACTGCCTGGTTATTCACATTTCTTTAAAATAAATATATAAATAAATAAACATTTATTATACAATCTCTAAAAATTGCTTTCCTCCAAGTTAGTGAAAGGTTACAATTGCAGAAAATATATGCAAATAATATATGTCACAACAAAACATGCCCTTTCCGTTTGTTTGGCTTCCTTTTTGTTTGTTTTTGTGTGTTTTGAGACAGGCTCTCTCTCTTATGTAGCCCTGGCTGTCCAGGAACTTACTATATAGACCAGGCTGGCCTGGAACTCACCGAGATCTGCCTGTCTCTGCCTCCAGAGGGCTGGAATTGAAGGTGTGTGCCACCACACCTGGGCTTAGAACTTACCTTAATAGCTGATTATTTTGCTTTACTAGCTGTTCATTTTGCTGCTTTAGTTTAGAAATTTCTTTTTCCATCCTTATATATTCACTTTGCAAAATAAGAGCTTTCGTGCTTTGTACAATTCCACTGCCACCTCCACAGGTTAAAGGTTTACTCAGAGTCACAGAGTCCGGCTCGGATATCACTGCAAGAGGCAAACATACACACAGGTTGGTGCTCTAATTTTTGTAAGCAAAACGAAACACAGGATGTTTCTGTGTTGCCCAGGCTGGCTTTGAGCTGGTATTGATCTTCTTGTCAACCTCCTGAGTGAGTGCTGGGCACTGTGCCACCATGTCCAGCCAGGCAGGTAATCTTAAATAGCTCTGATGCTCAAAAAAGAAGTATTAAAAACTGCAACAGGCTGCTACAGAAACCATTTCCCGGAAGTCGTCTTTGATTCTGTGCTTCTCCCTCATCAACCCTGTCTACTTGACCATCAGTCTTCATTTCCCTACAATCTGCCTCCACGGTACATTACCACATCTTCCACCCCAAGTGCAGAAACAGCAATTGATAATCACAGCCATTCCGAGTTGGTCCATGCTCTGATCACCTGTGGGGCTTGTCACCTGCTACCTTGTTGCAGGTCATGCAGAGGCTGCCCCAAAGTCAGACTCAACATGTACTTCTGAACACCCCCAGATGAGAGTAACATTGTCAGCGTTATGAACAAAACCGTACAAAAATGGAGATGTTATTTATCCGAACAACCCATTAGGTCACCAGCAGATCATTATACAGACACAGGACAGACAGGTACGTGAGGAGATCAGTGGGGTACATCTTTATCGTTCAGGTATGATACAGGCAGGTATCTCTAAACTCAGAACTGCTCCAGTATCCCAGGGGATAGCATGTCATTAGACTCAGAAAAGCCCTCAACAAAATCCAACCTCCCTTCACGATAAAAGTTTCAGAGAGACTAGGATAGAAGGGACATACCTCAAAATAATAAAGAAAGCCTACTACAACATCCCCACAGCCACAGTCTTAATAAATAAGAGAAAAACTCCAGGCATTGTATGTCGGATGATGTGAGACTTGTAAGCAATCAGCCTCTAATGGGATGTCTACATCATACCCGGATCTACTGGGTAAGAGCCAGAGGTAGTGGAGACTCCAAGGGAACTGTTTTAGAGGACACAACAGGGCTGGAGCATGGATGGACTCACAGAGATTGCAATGATACACAAAAAACCTGTACAAGTTAAGGCAGATAAAATCCCAGCATGGAGAAGCAGGAGTGGGCACAAGTAGCTCTTTGTGACTGACAGCTGCTGGGAGAGGGGAAATCAGTTCTTTTCAATGGAGTGACCCTGGGTACGTCAGCCACACTTGCTGGCAGGCCCCATGCTCAGGAATAGCCGACCAACACAAAACAGCTTTTTGTCTTGTGTTTCTTAAGAGAAAGAAAGAAAGGAGAAACAAGGTTGGGTGTGTGCTGGGGGAGGATCTAGGGGTTGTGGGAGGGTGAAGAATATGCTCAAAATACATGGCATGAAAATCTGAAAAAAAAAAGAGGAGAACGTATCAAAATACTTTAAGGCTATGTACATAAAGTACATGTGAAGGTAAATCAATTTTGTTTAAATTTGGGTCAGACTCCTAAAGTATCGCACTTTGCATATGAAAATGTTTCAAAATCTTAAAAAGTTCAAAATCCCAGACACTTGTTTCCAGGAACTACAGATTATGGCTTGTATACACTTATTATCTTGGCCCGTCTATAACCAAGAAGCCACACTTGTATTTTATCCCTTGAAGTTTTGCAGTTAGGAACTAAGATCACTGCAATAGACACTTAGGAAGTTCAAGCCACACTAGACACCAGGCAACATAGTGAACATATTGTTTTCATTTTCTTATTAAAAAATTAAAATATAATCACACCACTTCCCACCTTGCCCTTTTTTCTTCTTTCCTTCCTTCCTTCCTTCCTTCCTTCCTTCCTTCCTTCCTTCCTTCCTTCCTTCCTGTCATACACCCAGCCCTCCCTCTCAGACTGACGGCCTCTTTTTCTTTGATATCGCTACTGAGTCCTTTTAGTGTGGCTTGCGTGCACGAGTCCAGGGCTGACTACTTTGTACTGGGGAACAAATGATCATCCCTCAGAGAGGCTAATTCTCCACTTCCCATCTTCTTTTGACTACAGTAGCACACATGTGTGCTTTATTCTCTTGGGCATTTAGAATTCTCAAAGTGCTGTCCCACATCAGCCGGTCTGATACACAGGTGTGTGAAGGTCCGTTGGTCACTGAGGAAGTCAGTCCAGAGACTTTCCCCCAATGTTTAGCTAATGCTTGTTCTAGTACATAAAGCTGCACCAGTACTCAGCATTCTTCCTCTACAGGAACACAAGGCATAAGAAAAAAGCGACCGCAAGGAGTATACGTCCTTCCAACCCCCAAACTATTGTAATTTCTTAGTTATATACATACCGCTAAAACCTACTTGGATGTGTTTGGTTTGTACTGGGAAGGAAGTTCACCCTTGATAGTTATGCCATTCTTTTACAGCAGTCAATATTTCAGCAATATGTGAAGAGCCAATTACATAAAAGTAAAACTGCCTTGTAGAGTCTCCAATGGATAAGCTGTTGGCACTGTAACCCTGTCAGTAAAGGGTCTAAGAGTAACACAGTACCGTGACTTTAACAGTGGACTAATGCAGGTTTAGTATTGAATGTCATGGGAATAATGTGAGTGTCAAGTGAACAGCAGGAGTCTTCAAAGTCTACATGTGTTCTGGCCAAAGAATCAACTAAGTGCGGCCCATAGGTGCTCCGAGACTGAAGTGGCAATCACAGAGCCCGCAATACGGCCTCTCTATACATGTATGGTTGTTTGTTTTTTTTTTTTTTTTTTTTTGTTTTTGTTTTTTAAACTTTTGTTACTTTTATTTTGATAAGACCACATAAACTCTTAAGACATTTCCAACACACCATAGTGTTGTTAACTATAGCTCTTATAATGTCGATAAGGTATTTAGACTCATTCACAGTACCCAACTGCAACCTTGTACCTGTTGGCCTAGTTTCCCCGTTTCATGTCTCTAGTAGTTGTCATTCTACTTTCTTCAATTCTCATTGCACATACAAGCCAGACTTACAATGCCCTTCTGTGTCTAGTTTACTGAATTTGGAATGCTGCCCTTCAGTTTTTTTTTTTTAATTTTAATTATTTATTTTACATCCTGACTACAGTTTCCCCTCCCTCCACGTTCCCTCTGGCCCCCCAACCCTCCTCCAATCCACTTCTGTTTCTTTTCAGAAAGGCGCAGGCCTCCCATGGGTAGCAACAAAGCGTGGCACACGGAGCTGAAGTCAGACTAAGCAGCTCCCCTGTGGACAAGGCAACTCAGTATGAGGAATAGGTTCCGAGGACCCAGCCAAGGCATCAGGGACAGGCCCTGCTCCCATTGTTAGGAGTCCCACAAATAAACTTGCTTGCTGTTTTTGTGGGGCTCCTAATGGTGGGAGTGGGGGCGTTTCTGACTCTTTCTCCTGCCCTTGGGACCCCTTTCCTCTTACTGGGTTGCCTCACCCAGCTCTGATAAGAGGGTTTGTACCTAGTCTTACTGTGCCCTGTTATGCCTTATTTGGCTGACATCCCTTACAGGCCTTCTCTTTTCTGATTGGAAACAGAGAGGGGTGGTGGTGGTGGTGAACTGGGAGGGCTGGAGGGAAAGGAAACTGAGAGGAAAAAAAAAAAATCTGCGTTCTTCAACTTACTTGAGGTATCCTGGGCCTGTTGATTTCTTCTAAGATTTTCTCTCAGCATCCTTATCACTTCTTTTTGATGTGTAACGGTGGCTTTTGTAGAAAGAATTCTAACAAGGATAAAATAATAAAAACACGTCAATGTCCAAGTGATTTTTATAGGGAAGAGGATTTTCTAATTTGATATGCCACAGTGACGTAACACCCCTATGCTAGAGCAGATCAGCCCCTGGAATATAGCTCAGCTCTCATGGCTACACCCAAATGTAACCATCGGTTCAGCTGTAGGAACAGTCCAGCTTTATTACTGAGAAACTAACTCATTTAAAACTTCTAGAAACATAATAGGCATTAGTTATAAACTGAACAAAATTCATTTTGGAGACACTATAAATTATTCCCACGGAGTGATATAAAAGAAAATTGCCAGAGATGAAAAGGAACAGAACAATCAAACCAAACCAAAACCCCAACTTCCACACTGTCAGGTAAGCAAACCCTCACGCAGCTCTGATCAAGGGCAGGAGTCAAAGGTCAAGTACTGCACTGCTCCCAGAGGAAAGAGATGTCAGCAATTCAAGAGTTAATCAGAAATGATGAGTTATAAGCCTGTCTTAAAAATTATACGGTTCTTGGGCTGGAGAGGAGGTTCAGTAGTTAAGAGCACTGGCTGTTCTTCTAGAAAGGTCCTGAGTTCAGTTCTCAGCAATCACATGGTGGCTCACAACTATCTATGAGATCTGGTGGCCTCTTCTGGCATGCAGCCACCATACATGCAGGTAGAACACTGCATGCATAATAAATCAATCTTAAAAAGGTTACACTGGTAACTATTGTTTTTAAGTTGTGGCATAGGCCTTCAGTCAGATCAGGCGGATATCTGAGTTTGAGGTCAGCCTGGTCTACACTGAGAAACCGTCTCAAAAAACCAGATATATGCTGACTGCATTTTATAGGTAAAACCGCCCTTTCTAATTAAGAACACAATATTGGTTTCATTGAAACCTTAGGCTCTTAGCAATGGGAAGCTGGGTACACAGCCTGAAGACTCATGGGGCACTTGTTACTTCTGGGCAGAGCTAAATGTCATTTATTATGAGGAAGAAAGCCTAAAGAGCTAGGTTACACCTTGGAACATTGTATATGATGCCATTATTATATGAGTATATATCTCTCACGTAAGCCTTCCTTTTATTCAAATGCAAGGGCCGGATGAGCTCTACAGATTGTTTAAGGAGATGGGTAGACTCTGAGTTCAGTTGCTCTGACTGTTCAGTGTTCTTTCCATTATGCTCTATACAGAAAAAAAACTTTCCGTGCGCTGTTCTGTGTAACAGAACACACAGGTAAGTTGGTAAAAGGAGGACATGATGCTGGGTCCCCAGTACCAACAGAAAACAATCTTCACATAAAAATGCAATAGGGAGAAGAAGGGGAACCGAGAGCAACCTTAGTAAACCTCTGCGCACACACAGAAAAGCGCAGGCGCTCTCTCAGCACACAGGTGGAAGGATGGCCAGCCCCATTCAGACACCACGGAAGAAGACCCATCAAAGACACCTGCTGACCTACGAGGCTCACGTGCATCTTTTTCAGGACTGGGGATTGAAACCAGGGCCTTGAGTATGTTAGACAAGTGCCTGACCACCAGCTCTACGCCACAGGCAGAACCCAGCTTAATTTTTTAATCGTTTGTATATGTAATCACTATCTAATGAGCTTACAAAGCCATGGGTACATATGGATTTTTTTGAAAGTAAAGAAGTATTTTTATAAATTACTTTCTAAAAGTAAATACATGCAAAGATGTTTGTGAAGTTTATAAAGAAATGTTATGTGACTAAAGCAGACTTCAACAAAGGCAAAGGCAGACATACTCCTTTTCGAATTCCTTGGCATTCTCCTTCTTTTCTAGGTCAGTTTTCACCAGCTGCATTTTGAGATCCTCAATTTCTTCTTTATAAGGCACAGCTCCTAACGCAACTCTGTCCTGTCATGGAAAAAAGTACAGAGAAATAAGATCCATGGGCGCATTCTGACGTGTCTATACAATGGTACTACTGCACTATCAACAAGTGATGAGGGGACTGAGGATGAAGAACGGTTTGCCGTGTACTTTCCTGGCTTGCTGGGAGCCCTGGTCCCATCCCTAGCATCTCATACGGTAGCTATGGTGACATAAGCCTCTAATGCCTTTACTTTTTTGTGGGTGTGCACACACACGTGCCATGGCTTGCAGGTGAAGGAAGGAGACAACTGGCAAAGTCAGCTCTCTCTCTCTCCATGTGTGTTCTGGGGATTGGACTCGGGCTTGGTGGTAAGCATCCTTAGCCACTGAGCCATTTTGCAGGCTCTTATTCAGTTAATAAATGCTATATTATATTTGACAGCTATATGCATAGGATAAAATTAATACTTTGGGAGTAAATTTTGAAGTAAGTACTTTTGGATACTACAGATTTAAAAATAGGATTCACAGAACCAATTTTAAAAAGTCAAACTATGAAAAGAGTTTATGGATCTCTTTTCAGGATGGAATAAAGCCATATGCTAGTATATCATCCAGACTAACTGTGCGGCCTGCAGTATCCCTGATGATGAGGCAGTCTACACTGAGTTTTGACAAAATGTGTTGTTGCTTATCCTATTTTAAAATTCTTTTTTCCAGCATAATAAAAATAATCAGTGTTTTACATGCAAATATGCCACAACATTTCATCGAGCCCCTTCTTTTTCCAGTCTGTGAAATGAACTTGAGCCCTTACACAGGTGTTGTGGTAGGGCTGTGGTTAAGAGGGAAGAACAGAGAATCCAATTATTTGCTAAATCCAACAGGTCTAGCATACCTGAAGCATTTTTACTGTTGCTTTTGTGCTTTCAAGGCATTTGTTTGACTCATGGACTTCATGCTGGAGCTTTGCTACCAAGTCCTTAGATACCGCTAGTTCCTTCTGCATCTTTGCAATCTGGCCTTCCTTATGCATGGCACTTTCTTTGGCTTCTTGTAAGGAGGTTTCCAGCTCCTGAATTTTCTGTTAGAGAAAGCACAGTCAATAGGGAAAATCCACAGTATGTTCAATGAGACAAAAATGATCATCTGTAGTTAGTTATTAAGTTTTCACAGATTGAATCAACAAATGAGAGGGTAAATATTGTTTAATCTATCTAAATACAAGTCCTTTTACTTAGAAAAATGACATTTCACATGTTAAAAGAATGCCAAAATTTCACATTATAACTTGACAGCAAATTCTCAAGGCCACACAAATGAGAACACAGAAATTACATGATATACCAGTTAGCAGAGTTCTAAGTACATTTAGTAGCCAGTCACCTTTTAAATTAACACTATTCATAAAAGGGCACGTGGAGTTTCTACAGAAATTTAAAGGTGAAACTATATGAAAAAAAAAAAAAACAAAAAAAACTTAAAACCATAAAATGAAAATAAAGTCTCCCCAGATCCTAACAAGGACTACAAAATCTTTTTGGGTATCTCCACCTCCAGAAAATTTCTGAGCAAGAATAAGCAAGTATAAAATTTATAAAAGTGGCCAACCATATGCAATAAACATACAGTTATTCTTGAGGGAAACTTCCCACCCTGCCCCACCAAATTTGTGATCTTCTAGTTTCTAATGGCAATTTTCAAGCTAATGGTTGATGTTTTATCTTAAGTATTTACTTTGGTAAAAATGATAAATTATAATTGGCTTTTGATTTCTCACTAAGACATTTTGCATACTAGCAAAACACAGTAGGATAGTTACTGTTGTTACAAATTCCCAAGCAAAGACAGCTAATAGTCTAGCTGGGTTGTTCAAATGATACTGATTCTTACACATTTTTTTTTTTTTTTTTTAAATTTAAATAGGGAGAACACGGACATACATTTCAATTTGCCTAACAATTTTGCTATGCTTTGAGCCTCTTAGCTTTTTACAATAATGTTAGTCAACATTCAAGACAATAGCTAAAGATAAGCTAAACTGCTACTATTCTCTAAATTAACTTGTTTTCCATGCATGTTACAGTTGAGATGAAATTCATATCTTTTAAGAAACTTATGGCACACTGTAGAAATACCAAACATGGCAATGAACTACCCTGTATACAGTATTTAAACTATCACTTACTTCTGTTTTTTAACTCATATAAAAATCCAACTTATCACACACATGTACAATAGTGTATTCATGTTTAGTGAATATGTTAAAGCTCTAAACTCCAGGAAGTTTCATACCTCTGATATTAGTTGTTCACCTACTGGTGCAACATGAGGATTTTTACTACCCTGTGGAGAAGGATGTTTGGTAGGATGGACACGGGCAGCAGACCAGGAGACAGTCAAAGCCTGGTAGTCTCTAGATAGTTGTTTAGTTTTTTCCTTCAGTGATTTCAGGTAATGTTCTAACTCTTTGCATCTGGCAGCATTTCCTTCCTCAAACTCTGTTGATTCGTTTATCATGGCCTGTGAACAGTAAGAGACCACTACAGCTTTAAAGTAACTGATATATTAAAGTCACAGCAAGAAGACCGCTAGAATTCTAGGACAGTGTGCAAGCTGAAATTCATTATTTAGGATGTCAGAACAGTGCGCGAGGCAATGAATGCACACGTCTCTTTCAACATGTTGGATGTTAATAATGATGTGACTAAAAAGAGGCCACTGGGGCAAAGGCTCAACTCTCACGAGCCCTGAGAGGAGAATGGGACAAGAACAGTGAGGAGAAGCAAAACCTCCCAAGTGGGAACTCCATATCACATGCAAACAGCCTGCTCCCTTCAAGCAGACTGGGTAATTATCATGAAGAACCATAATATAGTAAAAGAAAAAAATCTTATATAACAAAATTTTCATAGAGCCCCTATTTATAAATTAAAATATAAAGCAGTCTAATCCTTTCATGAATGAGTAGAACAATAAAAGTAAAGAATAAAAGAGCCTGAATGATGAAAAATTATACTCACAATTATTTTGCTATTATAGAAGTTATTCACTTGGCAAATGCTATTGTTATCTTTTTGGATGCCACTTTTAAGCTTTTCTGTATCAAACGGAGTATTCAGCCATTTTCCCAAAAACTGAGTCATTTCTTTCCTATTACTTAGTACTTGCTGGAATTCAGTTTTTATGGTGGGGAATTCATTTTCCAAATAATCTTTGGCAATTTCCTGTGTGAAAAATAGGTATCAAACTATATGAACATTAGGAAAGATTTCACCCAAATAGCATATAAACCATAAAAAAATCATAATGGAGAGAAATACCTACTACACTCTACTTATTAGGACATTAAGTGAATTCTAACTTAAAACTTTATTCTAATTACTTGCATAAGAGAGTGTTGGTAATATATTCTACACAACAGAGACAGTCTACCTATAGTTTCTGGTGGCTGCTTTTTTATGTACATGGCAGGCCTCACATGTGTGCTGGGAACTGCAGGCAGCTTTACATTGTTGGGAGAACAAGAAAGTCCTTGTAGAGATCATACTGGGAAAGAATTCTACCTTTCAGTCATGGATGCAAAAAGGCATTAAGAAATCCAGAATTTTCTGAATTCTCACTGATGTTCAATCTGTTTTCTGTGTCTACACAGGCCTGACAGCACCCAAATGGTCCTTTAGTCAGCTCTCATTCTGTGAGTTACTAGTAATTTCTGATGAATGAAAACAACTTCAAATGCATATGAAGGTATCTACTTATAAAAGGCTTAAAATCATACTAAAGGCATTAAAAATACAGTGTACCTCAATATGGAGATCCATATCCCGGCTCAGTTTGAGGCTCTCTAAGTCTTCGGATGGAATATCACAAGCCTGTGGAAAGCTCTGTGCCTTAATCTGCAGTTCATTCTGCTTTTCCACTTCCTGGATAAAAGCCATTTCGAACTGATTGATGAACTCATGTTGCTCTTCCTTTAGCCTTGTAATGTGGCTCAACACATACTTGAAGAAGAGGATAAATTGAAAACATGAGACATTGTATTTAGGGGACATTTCAGTGTCTGAGATGGGAGGTCTCCCACTTACTACTGGATATTACCATAGATGACGAAAAAGGAAGCAGCTAATGCTTATCCACAAATTTCTCTTCTCATCCCCCTGAGGAGTAACCCAGATTGCTGCTTCTATGTTTGACTTCCCATGGGCTATCTCATATTGAGTGGCTTTAGAATGTCACATGACCCTTTCTATATTCCTCTTTTTCTTATTATCTCATTAGATTTTAATTATTTTATACGTGGAATAAACTTGTGTGTCTGGTGTACACCATACATTCTCTACCCCTGGAACTGCAGGTGGCTGTGTGGTGACGGGAGCTACTCTGAGTCCCCTGGAAGGGCAGCTAGGGGTCTTAGCCACTGAATCATCTCCCTAGGCTTATTACACAACTTTTGGTTAAACTGCCAATCCCCTACTGTCAGACATTTAAGATTAAAAGAAATGTTTCATTTTGTATAAAATTAGATGCACACGTGTGGTTATGTGCACATGAGTTTAGGTGTCCATGGGACTCAGAAGAGCTTCAGAAACCCCTAGAGCCAGAATGGTGCGAGCTGCTTTGGCCTGGTGTTAAGATCTGAGTTTGGGTTCTGTGTAGAAAGAGTACATGGTCTTAACTGCTAAGCCATTTCCCCAGCCCCATTTTGGATTTTCAAAATACTCTCCTAACAATCTTGTCTGATTACCCCACCCCCAGTCATATGCTTCAAGCCTTCTTTGTCAAGCATATTTAGATGTCTGACTTTAAGGTAATGATAATTTTAATGCTATAATGTTCCCCAACCTCAGACATTTTGGGTACCTGACTGTCAAATCTATTAGAGGATTATCAACTAAAGAAACTCTATATGCCTTGGGCAATTTCAAGATTCATAAGGAGCCTCCCCACTGTTCTAGAAGTAGTAAGTTACTGCTGGAGGAGGAGACTCAGGCTGGTCAAGTTGCTAAGGGAGAGGGAGAGCTGCTCCCATGTTGAGCAGGAGGCCCCAGCGATACGGCTTTCCCAAGGCATCACCCCATAGGTGTGGGCTTTTAGCCAATGCAGCTGTTTCAAGTCATCCCCGAGTAGCCCCTCATGAACTCATAGGTTCACTAAGTTGGACTTGGGTGCAGGTGTTACTTTGGTCTGACATGGATTCCCTATTTGGGGTGAACAGACATGTGTTACATACCCACAGGAAAAATCCGTCACATCAAAAGCCTGTCTGCACCTCTGTGATTGCACTCCTAACTGGTCACAAGCCTGCCTCAGCAGATCTTTGGGATTTGACTCATGTGGACTCTTGAGTACACTCGCATGGTGTCTAGGCCTATAGCAGAGCTCAGGTTTTGTTGAATGAATTCTCTCTTCCGACCCATACAATCTTTAATTTGGTGGTTAATATAAATAGCATATATGGGTTTAAATGTATTGAAATGTACAACTGAAGTTATAATTATATCAGTATAAGGCCAATACTAAAAAAAGTTGGTACCTTAAGTTTCTTCAGAAGTCTGTGGAATTCCATGGAACATCTGTGGTTTGTAGTAAGAAGCTTTTCAATCTCTTTGATTTGTGGGTGTGGCAGTGAGAGCTTTGCTTTTACAGCAATTGCCAACTCTTTTTGGGTTTTAGTTTCCTTTTCCAAGTCAACAGAGAACTGATTCAAGCACTCATACTCATGACCCATTTCTGAGTATCTTTTCAGGAGCTCCTAAAGGAAATTAGAATTCATTCGAATGAGTGTTAGAATTGTAACAAAAGAACACCACAATACCTTCTATTGGAAAAAAGAAATTAAGACCTTTGTAGTTAAAAGACATAATTAGCTATTTCTAGACTATAGAAGCAATGTGTAATATTGTGAAATTAACCAGAGGAAAATGCAGCAAGAAAACCAACTTTTCCTCTGGTCTTTTGAGTAAGTTTAGTGTGCACCATACACAAGATTGAGAGCTGGCTTAAGTTTACAAAAGCAGCGAGAACACGGAGACAAATCAACGACTCTGACTCAAACTGGCCCTCCCCATGGCGGTGTAGTCACCCCACACACTTCTATCATGTGCTAATGCTATTTTGACTTCTGCCCCTGTTATCTTGTCTACATGACTAAAATTCATCTTTCAAAAGGGCTCTCTCACTGGGGTGGTAGAGACACATGCTTTGAATTCCAGCACTGCCGGAGGCAGAGGCAGGAGGATCTCTGTGAGCTCGAGGCCAGCCTGGTCTACAGCGTGAGTTCCAGGACAGCCATGGCTGCACAGAGAAACCCTGTGTTGGGAGAACAAAAAGAAAGACCCTGTGCTTTTACCCAACTCTCAATGCCCAGGCCTTCCTCTTCAAGTGTAGGTCAGACTGTGTCTCCCACGGTAGAGCTCTCCCGTGCCCTCCTCCTACTCAGAGCAAACCCCGAGTCCTTTTGTGGCCTCACAGCCCACTCCTCTGACTTTACTTACTTCTCACTGGTTTGTCTTTTGACACTCCTTGAGCATGAGGCAGCCTTCTGCAGCACTAGCAGCTCTGTATTCACAGTTCCCCATCTACAGTCCCCTTCCCCCAGAGCACATCAAGCCCCTAACTGCTTTTAGAGATTTGCTCAGGATCACTTCCCAGAGGCCTTAAAAACAAGTCACACACTCCCACTGTGTCGATTGTACACATATGTGCACATGTATACTCTACTAGACTATAAGGCTTAGGGAAACATTTGACACGATCTATTATTCACTATTCATAGTTTCCTTTAATTCCACCTTAGGCTGGGACAGTAACAACAAGGCCACATGGCTCCTACAGGGGTTCTTACTTTTATCCTGAGGCACTTTTCTCGAAGGCTTTGTGTACTGTGTTCTCCATCACATAGTAACCCCTTTGCATGTTTTACGGTTTCTTCATGATTTTGATGGTCCTGGTACAAAGACATACATAGCAATAACCACATTCACATGTCTAGTCATACACGCTTACATCTTACATTATGTTTCAATGATGGAATTAAATATTTCATTATAATATAACAACAGTATTAAAATACATAAAAAAGGAATAATTGCTGTCAAGCTACCTAGTGAATTTGAATGACTTCAGCTCACTAAAGGGATATGGTGAGAAGCGCATGGTATCTAGAAAAGGACTTGTTCCTCATTAGGTCTTAGATTCCTAGTCTGTAACCTCTCAAATGGCTCCATTAGAATTACCATCACCAACTAAATATACTAGGAAGCCCAAGCCTTGTGAAGTCATCCACCCTGGGGTGAAAAGTCTTAATTTCATTCATGTTCTTTCTGCATCTGATTAAAAAGCACAGAACAGACCTACCCATGCCATTAGTGTAACCTGGCCACTGTAATACCTAGAAGAATATCTGCTTAATACAGATTTGTCAGACAAGTATTGGACTCCCAGGTAATTAGTGTTTAATAATATCCTACATGAGGCTTCCTACTTTCACCTTCAAACATGAACATAAAAAGTTATAGATTTACTTTATATACCCATTTGCCTACATTTTCTGCTACTTTTTAGGGGAGTGAAGTAAACTTTGAAAGATTATTGTGAAACAAAATCAAGAAAACTCCCTTTTAATCTCTGTTTTTCTCCTTTCAACTTCAGTAATGAAAACCCGTTTATTTCTAGAAGTCTATTAGTAGAGGAAATGGAGGCATTTAATCTCTTGAAAATGTAGTCTTTGAAATATTTTTCCACTTAAAATAATGCTAGCTTCTTTTTGTGGCTGTTGTTTCAGAAATTTAGAAGGAAAATGGTGTGTGTAACAACATTTCTTAGAGACGAAGAATTCAGTCTTCTGAAAAGCACTGAGGCTTTTATGCTCCCTTCCTTCTTGTATTATAACTATGGTACATTTTCCACCACATTTTACTATCTACAGAAGTTAAAAGAAATCAGGAGGAAAAACCAAAAACCACAACACCCAGATCCAGACAATGCACACACTCTGGTAATTGCCTTAAAGCTTTGGTCTTAGAACTAACTACTCAGAGGAAGGTCCTGAACTCATGTTCCTTCTCACGTGTCTTACGGTTTCTCGGAATTGTTCTTTCCACTATGAGAGACTCTTATCTTGGTTAGCTCACTGCTTTCCTTGGCTAGAATTGTTACCGCTTCAAGGTTTTTGTTAACTTTCTTAATCAAGTGCAAGTTATTTCCACCCACACTTTGCTCGTAGGAATTCTGGGCCTCCAACTGCTTCAACGGCTCACTTACCTCCAATTTTAAATAAACTTTACTGACATCTTCCTCTTTAAGAAGCTGAGGCTTCTTTTCTCGAATCTTTAGACAGTTATAAAATAGAACAGAATAAAGAATTTCTTCATGGAAGGGCAATGTCTTCTGTTGTGTATGTACATATACATAAATGGAGTGCCCTTATCGCAAACACTGTTTGCAGTCTGAAATCCTCCCAAATTCAAGTTTTTGAGCTTCACACTGGCACTGGCGCTCAAAACCTTTTTAAAACCGAGTATTTCTGATACTAGACCAGGAATCCTTAGCACATATTTATGTATTTTATTACCAATTCTAAGTGACTAATTACTTTTAATACACTCAAGTAAAAATGTATGCTAGAAACGAGCTCTACAGCACCTCTGGGGTACAAAGGGGGCAAAGGAGGCGGGCTTTAATCCTAGCACTCAGGAGGCAGAGGCAAAGGATCTCTGTGAGTTCGAGGTTAGCCTTGTCTGCAGAGTGAGTTCCAGGACAAGTAGAGCTATAAAGACAGACCCTGTCGCACAAAAAAAGACCAGACCAAAGGACCCAGAGTCCCAGAGTCCAAGCTCTGGCTCTACCTTTCCTTCCTTTCCCCTGGGCACCGCTACCCAGTGAATTCTTTATTCTTCTCCATAACTATGTTAACTATGTTTTAAGATCAAACTCACAGAAATAACGTGAGGCTTAGAATTCCATCATACAGATGAGCCCCATTTAGCCTGTGTCCTGCTTATGTCTGGATTTTGGTCACCACAAATCAGTCCACACAGAACAATGTATTTTTGTGAAACAGTGAATATATTGGTTGGGTGAATTCCTAGCTGCGATAATGCTGGACCAAATGTAGTGTATGTGCTGGTGTGTTTTCAAAGAGACATTGTTTGGCGGGAAAAATGGCTGCTCGGCAGTTAAGAGCACTTGGCTGTTTTCTGTTCCAGGAGCTCCAACACCCTCTTGTAGCTATTCAGGTACCAGACCCACGGGCATCCAGGCAAGGCACACACACATGTGGGGTGGGGGAGGGTTCATCTACGGATCCCGCACTTTCAAGTAGAGTGTGTTTCTAGACAGGAAGAAGGCGGTCAGCTCACCTTCCACATGGTGTCCCTTCGGTTTTCCTTGAGCTCGTCTCTCTCCATCTTGAGCATTTCCTCCACTCTCTTTAGGTCATCTCTTTCTTTTATTACAAGTTTCATCTCTTCAAGGTTTTCGTGAAGCTTCTGAGCCAGATTTAAATTCTCCATCTCTATTTTATTCAGAGCTAACCCCTGTTCCTTGAGTTGCTTTTGTGTCTCAATGGCAGCTCCTTTTAACTTAAGAAGTTGAAGTTCATTTTTCTTAAGTTCTTGAATCTGCCAAGACATGAAATCACATTAGGATACAGACTCTTTAAAGAAAGTGTTATTTTGAATTTATTAGACTTTTTTGTTTTATTTGATGGTTATGGGTGTTTTGTGAACACGTATGTCTATGCACTATGATGTATGCTTGGTGCCCATGGAATTCAGAAGCGGGTGTTGGCTGTCCTGGAACTGGAGGTAAAAGACAGTTGTGACCCACCAAGCATGCTGCAGGAATCAAACCTGGGTCCCCTGGGAGAGGACTACTTAGCTATCTCTGCAGCTCTAGAAAGCTTAATTCACTTTTCATCATGTGAGTGAGGTGCTTGTGAACGTCAGGGGTACTGTAGCCTCTGGAGCTGGAGGACCAGGCTTAGAACCACCTGACAGGGATGCTGGAAACTGAACTCAGGTCCTCTGTAAGAGCAGTGCCTCTTAACTGCTGAATCTTCTCTCCAGGGCAGGATGTGGACTATTTTAAAAGAAGGATGAAGAGCAGTTTCTCTGGGAGTAGTCATGCATACCTTTGATCCTAGTACTCTTAAGGAGGGAGAACAGAACTGCTTTTAAATTGACTAAGATAGTAATCTTTTCATGTTATTCCTATTAATGTTTTCTAAAGGTGCCCAGCTTTCTTTTGCGGCATAACGCATATAAAGTATACTAATCTTAAATGCAGAGTTTGGGGTGTGTGTGTGTGTGTGTGTGTGTGTGTGTGTGTGTGTGTGTGTGTGTAAGGCATGATCTTTCTGTGCAGCCTTGGCTGTCCTAAAACTCATAGAGATCCTCCTGCCTCTGCCTCCCCAGTGCTGGATTAAAGGCATGAGCCACCACTGCCTGGCTCAGTTATTCTTAATATATGCATACATCTATAAAACCATGACCCAGACCAAACTAGACAGCATTTCCAGCACCCAACATGTGTGTCTTTTCCTTGAGGTAAATATTATTCTGACCTATAATATCCTGGGGCAGTTTTGTTTCCTTTTGAACTTAAGACGATAATGAAATCATCCATGCAGTTGCGGATATTTAGGTTTCTTTCAGTTTCCCACATTATTTTGAATAAAATGCTATGAGCATTCTCGCAGAATGTATAGAAGAATGATCCTTGTCTTTTTCAGTATACACCCAAGGAAAGGAAATGCTAGGCCTTGCAGTGAATACTGCCAACTGTTTCCCTGTATGGCTGAACCTTTATAGTCCCAAAGGCTTCCAAGCATGAACAAATGAAATGCCCAATCAATACCTTTTCTTGTAACTTAATATTTGCGTTTTCTAATTCCATTTCCATATTTGCTACTTCATCTGTCTTCTTTGACACAATCCCCCTGAGTCTGTCAATAGTTTCTTGGTGCTCTTTCAGATCCATGTGAGCAATCCTTAGTTTCTCTTGCTTTTCCAGATCCTTTTAAAACAGGAGCATATCTTAATATTAAGTAGTATTTTTAACAAATGCTTTACCGGACAGATCACCACACTACGGGGGCCCTGCTTTTACTATTTTTCTTTATTGTTAGGAATCTATGGACCTTTCCTTCCATTTCATTTCCCCATACTCCACTTTAAGAAGCTAATATCAAATATCACATATTTTACTTAACAAACTGTCCCCTTCTTAATGTCCTTCTTAGCTGCTGAGCAGACACACAGACCAGTATGCACACAGTTTTGGCATACTGCTTCTATTTACCAGTTTCTTCCTAAAACACATGGTTGTTTTCCATTTTTATCACAAACTGCTATAACCAAGCAACTTTGACTTCTATTTGTATAAATTTTTATGTAGACTCATTTGCATATATATTTCTTTAAAAATGAACCAGTATATATCTAAGTAAAAACCCCATAAAGAAATGGTGAATTAAAAAAATTTCAAGAATACCAAATTGCCTTTGCCATTCCTGTTGCCATGAAAGGCCCCCATCCTCCCCGCCCCTCAATGATTCGGAAACCTACTAGGGCAGGATGGGAACTTACGCTTGCTTCCATTTGTTGAAGACTTTTTCTTAGTTGGTCTTGTTCTACTCTGAGGGTTTCATCCATAACTTTTAGGTCATCATTTTCCTTACTGACAAGTCTTATTTCTTTGAGGTTTTCATAGACTTGTTGAGTCAGTTTTAATTTCTCTATTTCCGTGTTCTCCAGAGTTGAATTCTGGGCTTCTAGCTGCTTCTTCAATTGCTCCATTTGGTCCACAGTTTCCTTGAGCTCAGCTCTCACTTGAGAAAGTTGATGTGCTTTTTCCTGAAGTTCTCGGCTCTTAGAAAACCGTACACTAAATTAGCACATTGAACATATAAATAAGACCCCCAAATAATAGTCTTAAAATTGAATCAGCAAGTCTTGTGATTCAAATTTAGACAGGTTCCTGTCTCATAACACAGAAGATCTGATTCCTTCTCCCGATTATTCAGATTAAAAAATACCTGCACTTCTAGGGCAGCATGTGTGTGTGCTAAGTCCCCTTGGATACGTGATATCTCATCTGCCTTAGCAGACACGCTCTCTCTGAGATTGACGATAGTCTCCTGGTGCTCCTGCAGATGCACGTGAGCAACTCTCAGCTCCTCCTCTTTTTCCAGACCCTTAATTATCAGGTAAAGAAAGAAGAAACACATTTCAAGCAGAAGCTACACACACAAGAAAGTAGAAGTCCTCTTGTCCTCTCAGGGCCCCCAGTCCTCTCTCTTGAGCTGCTTTGTAATGTGACCACATATTCTAGATGAACCACTGTCAGTTTATCTGTCCTCAGGACACTATAAACTCCGTGTCAGCCTACTTTCTAGCTAAGGTAAGCGTTTCATGATCCAAATACACTGTATTTCTTTTTCCAGTTCCCTTTAATGGACAGTGTGTATGTGCTACACACATCTTTGCAGGACTGTGCAATGTGTCCAGTGTAAAAAGCTACAACTAGATTCTCAGGACCAATTTTATACTTGGCCACCCCCAAGCCCAGTGGGCATTAGGACATTAAGCTGCATGATGGCAGAAAGAGGGCAACTCACTCTAGTTACTGTCTCTCTAAGGCTCTCCTTCAGCTGGTCTCTCTCTACTGTGAGGCGCTCCTCCACACTCCTGAGCTCATCTCTTTCTTTTGCTACACATCCCATTTCTTCAAGGGTTTCATGAAGCTTTTGGGTCAAGTCTGCATTCTGCATTTCCACCCTTTCCAGAGTTGACTTCTGGGCCTCCAACTGCTTGGTCAAGCTTTCCGTTTCACTTCCATCTTCTTGAGTCTCATCATCCGTCTTCATCACAGGACATTCATGCTCTTTGTCCTGAAGTTCTTGGAGCTGAGAAAGTAAGTTAGGTCACAGGTTTGTTTGTTTTTAAGAGAAAGGAAGATGGATTCCTAAACCAAGGCAGAAACTTGAACATTTAGTCTGATGGATGCTGTGCACTCTGTGATGAGAGATGGGAGGGAAAGAACCAAGCAGTTCATCAGGAAGGCCTTCTTCCTGTAATTCAGCATTTGTCACCCCCAAGGCCTCCCTAGTACCTGCTGCTTGATCTGCCTTTCCTGAAACATTTCATGAATGAGTAATTTCTATGTAGTCATTATTTAGATGAATATCAAGTTTTTAGTTCCCTTTTCCTTACCATTACATTACATAAAAATCAATAAAACTTAATAGGTGACAACACAATCATCTTAGTCTTATTTTTGTGTCTTCCAAAAGGGACTTACCTTAGCACCGATTTCTTTAATGTCTTCTTTCTGTTGTTTGTTTTCCACATCAAGAGCCTCTCGGATTCTTTTCAGTTCATCTCTTTCCTCAATTAGAATTCTCATTTCCTCTTGACTTTCTTCTAGTTGTTTAGTCAGCTGGAGCCTGTCACTTTCTATCTTTTGTAGTGTTGAGTCCTTGGCTAGGAGAAGATCCTTGACTTGGTCTAGTTCATTCATTTTCTCTTGAAACTCATTAGTTTCTTTTATATTAAGTTGTTCCTGTTTTTCATTGAGTTCTTGAACCTTCAAACAATGATGAAATGAGTTATCAGCACAATACACAGGGATACTCTCTCTTTCTCTCTCCCTCCCTCCCCGCTTCTCCTATTTTAAGAAAACAGATACAAAGTAGGTTCCACAATAATTCAGTATGTAAAGGTTAGCAGTCTCCTTCAAGTTTCCTCCCCTCTCACCAATTTACCTTTCTCTCTAGTCTCTCTAGTTCATCAGTGGCTGACTCTAGCTGTACGCGAACACTTGACAGCTCAGTTTCCTTCTGGGAGAGGCTCATTTTCAGGGTGTCAATTTTTTTCTCTTGCTCTTTCAGGCGACAATGAGCAACGTTAAGTTCCTCTTCTGTTTCTAGATGCTTTAGTATTAGAGAAAATTCCAAGACAGTTATGGAAATATAACCATATAGTTTAAGTAACTCCTTTCTGAAAAGATTTAGTCATAAGGAAAAGCTTTGCTTACAAAGTTCTCTAGAACAGTGCAAAGAGGAAACTATTTTAGTTGTAACATCTTTGGAGATGCTGTGACTGCTCATGCTCTGTCTGGAGAACCTGCTACAGGCACACAAGTTCACCTTTCGCCTTTGACCAACATAGCACAATGACCTCACCAGCGCTGTAGTGGCATGCATACATTGGTGGTAACCAGCAGCTCTCTTAACTAGACTTATGACCTGCTCTAAACAGAGGGAAATTAGTGAGAGTCATACCTGGTACTGGAAACCTAGCCAGCTCTTCAGGGCTAGTGAAGTCATGATCTTGGAGGAGAATCTATAAACACCTTTTTACTAAGACAGCACAGTCCCTGGCTACCTTCCAGTCCCTAGCTACATGTCTGTCCTCTTTCTGACTCGAGCATTTCTATTTCTTCTCAGAGCTTGATGCTGACTCAGCCCTTGTACTGCTCATCATTGTTACACCACACTCATTACTTTAGAGTCTCACTGCCCTTTCCTTCCACACTAAAGAGCGGTTCTTGTTTGTGGGGAGCTTCCGCATCTTATGGGAATTCCAACAATACATTTGATCATTAAAGGTAATTATGGAAGAAAAGAAGTTAGACATTTTCTTATGCAATGGAGATCAGATCCAATGGCTCATTTACGAATTTTCCCACATTCTTCCATTCTCCAGGCTGTTAATATGTTTTATTTAAGGGCACACTGCATTGTCAAGTATCCCAGTAGACAAAGCCTAGAGATAAAACAGTGAAGTTTTTCCTTCCCTCCTTTCTTTCTATGATTTCTACCAGAATCATACTTAAGGGGGAAAAGACAGATACTATGTCAGATTTCACTGAACAGAAGACATAGGCTACTCGGCAGTAATGCCAAGCATACTTACTATACGGGTGATTAGGAAGGGCTTCCTAGGGGACAGAAAACTGAAAGCTGAGGGATGCAGTTACACTAGTTACACAAAGCTGTGTAAACATTGCAGGTAGAGAAATGATCAGAGCATTAAAAATTCCTGAGAAGCACAGACCACAGAAGAGCATCACAGGAAGGGAGGGCTGCAGCAAGGCTAGACACCAGCAGGGTCTATCCAAGCCTCATGGGCAGTTTTAAAGAATAACAGTAATATAGTGAACAAATTCAAGAAAACATCGCTTTGTCTCAGAACGGGAACTGTGTTAGACATGTCTAAGAATGAATGCAGGGGGCTGGTGAGTTGGCTCAGCGGTTAGAGCACTTTTTATTGAAAAGGACCTGAGTCCAGTTCTTAGCACGCAATGGAGTCTCATCACTTCCTTGGGAATCAGGCATGTATCTGGTAAACAGACATACAAGTAGGCAAAACGCATATACACATAGAATAACAAAAATAAATCTAAACAAAAAGAACAATTAGCTACAAAGAGCTAATAACAAATAAGTGATCTTGTATAAGGGTATTGGTAATGGATAGAAAAATGGAGGTGGTTTAGAGCAGGTTGTGTGCACATGTGTGCACACTGTGCACACACACACACACACAAACCAACAAGGTTTAGAAACTATTACAGAGTGAGCGGAGGAGAAGGCAAAGTAAGAGGCAGGGTGACTTTCAGGCTTGGAACAGAAGCAATGAAGAAGACAGTCATAACTTACAAGAGAAGAGGCTTGTTTGACAATTCATTACAGACTCTCGCTTATTTGTCTTAGACTCCCAGAGTGCTGAGAACACATACAGTGCCCTATCACCAGGCATGGCATGGAGGGGTAGACTCGAAGAAAGAAAATATTTCTTCCTGCTTTCCTTTTTCTGTGATTTAAGCACTGATTTTTCTTGAGTTTTGAATACTCAAGAACAAAGATGTTCAGACAGTTTCAATCATTTTTTTTTTTCATCCAGGAGCAATTTTCAATTATTCTGTTTCTTGTCACTCCATGATTAAGAAACATTTGCAAAAAGTTAGTAGTAAGATTTTAAAATGTGACACAAGCAACCCTTTTCTAAGGACTGAACTCTGACAAAACAAGTTCAAGGCTTAGTATGGTTACAACAGACCATCTTAAAACAAAAGAAACACTCACTTCAGCCAAAGTTGTTCTGGCACCTTCCTTCAGCTGGGCACATTCCACATGAAGTGCTTCTAGCATCATCTGCAGGTCATCCCTCTCTTTAGTGAGACATCTCACCTCTTTCTGACTTTCCTGAAGTTTCTCAGTCAGCCCAAGCCTTTCTCGGTCCTCTGGTGAATCTGACCCCATTGTTGTGGAGTGTCCTCCCAATGGCTCCAGCTCACTGGCCTTTTCTGGAACCTTCCCCACGTCTTTCACGCCAGGAAGCAGCTCTTGTTCTTGTAGCACTGGGATCTTGTGATAGTCATAAAGCACAGCATTACAATTTTACCCAGCAGTGAACACGACTTTAACCTTAAGATCCTCTGTTGGATTGATAAGCCTCAATCATGTGCTCACTGCCAATCCCTTTTGAGTCTATGTTCAGTCTGCTACACTTTCTTTTCATCTTAGACCCAAGGTCAACCAATCTTTATACATCATCATCACCCTTTTTACTCCGACAGCTACAAGTTTAATTTCTAGACTGGTTCTCAAATTATAAGCAAAAACAGGAAATTAATTGCTTCAGGTGTTTCTGAATATTCCAGTAAATGTATAGTGCCCATCTTTGCTGAATCCCAATACTACCTCCCAAGTTTTGTTTGTGCACACTTATTCCCTGTCCACTCTGGTTCCTAGTAGAATGATGTAACTCTGTATATCATATTTCTACAGGTGCACAGTTGGAACTGAGGAATTATTTAAAACATGTATTCACATTTGAGAAAAAGACCTGTTTTATTATATCTTAGTTTCAATGCTTAGCAAAGAGTAGTTTGCCCAGTTATCCCAATGTCATTTTTTCCAGAGCATTTACAATTACTTGATGGTACCTTATTCATTTGATTGCTCATTTATCTTCTATTTCCTTCTACTACATGTCAATGAGGATTTTGTCCCTCTGTTACTACTGTTTTCTTTTGCATTTCTTTTTCTTTTTTTTGTAACAGTCTTATATAGTTTAGGCTATCCTTAAACTTTGGGGAGTTCAGCAGGTCTTGAACTCCTGATTCTCCTGTTCCAGCCCCCAAATTCTGAGGTGACAGGTATGCACACAAACATACCCAAACTTTCCCATTATATCTGTAACCCGGACTATGTATGCCGTAGTAGACAGTCAACACATTCTTACCCTCTGAATACATCATAACTACTTCATTACTTTCCTTCAAAGGAGGAAGAAAGAAGTGGTCAATGGCACGAGGAAAAAAATGACAAACCTTCTCTTGCGATTGAGAATGGGCCTTTTCTGCATCCTTAGTGTTGGCCATTTGAGCTTCTTTCCCAGCAAGCCTGCTTCCTAGCTCCCCGATGATTTCTTGGTGCTCTTCCAGATGTGTGTGAGCAACGTTTAGTCTTTCCTCTGGCTGCAGGCCCTTAATAAGCAAAATTGAAAGAATTTTATAGCATTCACTCAACACTGCCTCCCGGTCTTTCCCACTGACTAGTGTTCTAAAGAAACATTTAACAGATAAAAAGTCCATGGCGTTACTTACCACAGCTTCAATTTCTCTCGTGCATTCTTTAAATTGCCTTCTTTCTATTTCAAATGATTCCCGTAATTCCTTTAGATCATTTCTTTCTTTCGTTAGAGCTTTAATCTCCTCACAATTTTCATGAAGTTTCTGAGCCAACTCAAGCCTCTCTGCTTCCATGCGCTCCAGGGCCAATCCTTGGCTCTCCTCCATGTCAGCCATCTTCCCCTGCATCTCACGCACATCTTCTTGAGCACTAATAAGTTGTTGCTGCTTTTCTTGGAGTTTCTGGTCCTTAGGAGGGACAATTTTTGTTTTATAATTATCATGTTGATATTTTGCCAAATTTTTACATAGTACCATTAACAGAGCATTGTCTACATCATGCAGCATTAAAAGTAAGAGTCAACTAGCTTTTAGACATAATGTTTATGGGGAGGTTAAAACAATTCAGGACTATCTAGAAACTCGAAATTTGATGGAATTTGATGGAAATGGGACTTTTACAGATATAACTCTAAGTGTCAAGTTAGATGCTTTTGGATTACAATGGTCCCTCAAATCAGTGACAGAGAAGGACACAGAGAGATCTGGAAAATCAGGTTATGAGAAAATAGCATCAGAGACTGGAGTGGTGCAGTTCCAGGGCAGCGGGAGATATCAGATACTAGTTAGAAGCAAAAACAGATTTCACTAGGCTATCAAAAGAGACACCACCGACACTACAGCTTTTACAGTCTACGGATCAAGAACGGCGACAAGGCCGCATGCAGAGGCTCACACCTTTAAGCCCAGCAGCAGCGAGACAGAGGCTAGTAGATCTCGGTGAGCTGGGGGCCAGCCTGGTCTACATAGTGAATTCAAGGACAGCCAGAGCTACTCAGTGAGATCCTGTTTCAACACTCACACACATATGCACTTGCACACAACGCAAGCACGCACGCATATATACACACTCGAAATGATAGTGACATAATGCATTTTTGATTTTGTAAGTCACTAACTTTGTGGTAATTCTAATCTTCCCTTGGAAACTTACATAGGTTAATCAAGAGAGCAAGGTGAAATGAAAAATAAAACTAAAACGCTAAGAGACTAAAATTTACAAACACAGTTTCCAAATAACCATATTCCCTATGATATAAATAAATAATACTGTACATATCATTGTGGTGATGTATTGTATATGATTTAATAAAGCCACTGGAGATCAAAATGCAAAGCTAGACACAGCCACAGAGCCAGGCAGTGGCGATATACATCTTTAACTCCACCAGCCACACCGGTCAGCTATAGAAGCTGGGCGGTGGTGGCCACACCTTTAATCCCAGGACTCAGGAGACAAAAGCAGATGGGTCTCTGTGAGTTCAAGGCCATACAGGGTTACATCAGAGTGAATCAGTCTAAAAGAAACAGCCTACACAAAGAAGAGCTCAGCACTTGGGATTCCACGCCTTTAATCCCAGCTCTAGAGAAATCTATAACACAGGAATGGGACATTCAGTATTCAGTCTCAGATTTATTCTCCTGTCAGGCTGAGGACAGCACAGTGCTTTCAGCTTGAGGCAGAGGTAAGAGCTAGTGGCCAGCATCACTGCTTTTCTGGTCTTAAGTTTGAACCCCAGTGTTTGTCTCTGGGCTTATATTATTTGTGTTACCTATCATTTGTTTAGAGATGGAGTCTCATCGCGTAGCCCAGGCTGGCTTAGGACACACTAAGAGGCCCAGGCTGGTGGAAATTTACAGTGATCCCTTTGTCTCAATACTCTACACTGTACGGACTACAGTTTAGACCATGTCTAGATTGCCATCACCTTTCACTTTTAACAAGATGTTTACGGGATGACCCAAATAAACGCAGAAGCATCAGCTATTAACCACTGCTGTTTTTACTTCTTAGGAGTATGAAAAAGACACAAGGTTTTAAAGTGAATTCAATTTTATAAAGGGGCCGGGGTTAAAAACATAAGAAGAATGCTACTCAGGGCAATGACACACACTACAGTATGTCATCTAGCAATGGCGCTGCGCTCATCCGGAACAGAAGGTAGTCTGAGTGTACTTTAGAGTTGTTGGGCAGTCTCATGCTTCACATGTCTTACAACAGCACTTCCCTTACCAATGATTCAGAAACCTGTCAGCATCCAAGACGGTGATGGTGAGCAGTCTTACATTTCAAAGAGACTCCAACACAACTTCACATGGGGAAAACCTTCATTTGGTGACTAATATATGTTAAGTACTCAGCAGAGTGTCTAATCCATGGTAGTAATCAATTTTGATGGACGACTATATGATTAATTTGGGCTACATAAGACTGCTTGCCTCTCACCTACAGATGTTGTAATTATGTAATCTTAAGAAATGTTAATTAAGAATTCAATACACATTGAAACTTCAAGCTGTTAGCATTGATATTTGTCCATTCTGTAGATATTCACTATTCCTTGATTTAGGACTAGAGAAAAAGAATTTATTAGCAAAATGTGTGTGTGCTCGGGACAGACAGTCGAGAGAAGACAGCATGGGAAGTTCACCTTTTCCTTTAACTCTTCTTCTACGTCTGCCAATTTCTGGCACACCCTGGAAAGCTCTTCGCTCTTCTTAGTGGCTACGTCCTTTTCCCGTGCAGCTATCTCTTGCTGCTTTTTGAGTTCATCTCTGAGAATTCTTAATTCTTCCTGGTTTTCAATCGTCTAGAGTTAGAAAAAAGGTTCTAGATTAGAATTTATAATATTTGCTTACCTTTATGAAGTCAGGAAAACTCAGAAATTACTTTTGATACAAAATGAGGAAATCAAAGTGATACTACATAGAAAAAGGCAACGGTAAAGCCATGCCAGACTGCTTCCGATGGCCAAAAAGAGCTTTTTCTGATGCTTTCATGACTTTGGATACAAGCACTGATCAATGGCCAGTCAACTCGAAATGGTTCCCATTCTTTGTTGGCATTATGAAGATCACATAAGATCACATAGCAACAGGCTTATATATGAATGTCACCAAATCATAACAAGTCAGAGAGAAAACACATTTTGTGTTTGCATGCTAATTTTCATTCAGTTTGTTGATAAACCACACAATTCTAAATACAGAAGGTTAAAACATCACAAAATGTCAGGTTCCACTGCATCCACAGTGATTTTCCTGAATTATTAATTTTAACCCATACAGACTATAAAGCCTTATAACAGATTAAAAGAGAAACATTTCAGAACCAAGTTAACAAAATATGTATAAGACCTGCAAACTATAACATTAAGAGAATAAATCATTAAGGATATGCAATGGCTAATTAGCTTATGAGAAATGTTCAACGTCTTTTGTTGTTGGGGAAAGGCAAAGTAAAATAGGTATATTAGCAATAGAATGGGTAAAACTGAAAGCATAAATAAAGTGTTGGTAGGGAAATGTGGAGCCACCACAATTCTATGTATTTGTTGATGGGGATGTAAAATGGTAGACGTGGTTTGAAAATCAATCTGGCAAATTACTACCAAGTTAACAATAGCCAGTGACTCTATTTAGGCAGACATTTGTCAAAAGTCATTCACCCTTACACTTCCATGATATGTCTATTTCATGTAGATCATACACGAACAAAGTTGATAAAATCTAAAATAAATAGGTAAAAATGTATCGCCAACTGTAGAGAGCTAGGTCTTACCATCTCGATATTTTCCTGAAGGTCCATCTTTAATTGTTCCTTTTCTGCTATAATACTTTCCAATGTTTGTTGGAGTCCATTATTCTCCTGCATTAAAGAATGTATTTTCTTCTTGTCTTCAGTTACCTCATTATCATTACCACCTGCAACCAATGTCTGGGCACTTCCAGCAAGCAGACTCTGTCCTTCACCTATGTCATCCATCTAAAATATGAATACATCAAAGACGAATTTAAATAGTTAACAACTACTTTAATACTAGTAAAATATTCATCACCTATATTCTGTATCAAGTACTAGCCTCATATCGGCACACTGACTCTCCTATACAATCTCAGGAGCTAGGCATTATTTCTACGTGTTTGCTAAGTAGGGGACTTCAATTCCAGAGAGGTAAATTTATTTTTGCGAGAGCATACAGCCAGCTTTGGACAAAAGAAGTTGGCTCTAGTACTGGTATTCTTAGACCTGTTCACTGAGAAGGGCTGCCTAGGTAGCTGGATGCATTGCAATTGTCATGTATACTAGGTTAAGCTAGTGTGGACATTCATTTATTCAAACTGATTAGATAACCAAGACACATGCCTTTCCTGTCTACACATCTTCCTTAAATAATTCCTGAGTCATACAATGCCAGTATTTTGGTTACTTTATGCTACAAAAAGAAGGCCGAGGACTGTATTTGCTTCCCTGAGCACTGATGGTTACAGCTGGAATAAGAAAGAAACAGACTTTGTTCTGAAGTGGGAAGTACATGGGCAGTACAGTCAATGGGCTGGGCCTGGACTGAATAAAAAGGAGAAAGGCAGCCTTAACCTCTGCCTCCTGACTGGCACAGGATGTGACTAGGGTCTCACACTTCCGATGCCGTAAGTTCCCTGTCACGGTCGTTCATATCTTTTATACTGTGAGGCAAACTGATCTCCCCTAAACTGTTTTTGTTGGACTTTTGCCACAGTAACAAGAAAGCGGCCTACTACATGTGTTTTGGTAAAATGATGATTCCCCAATGGTGAGAGAAGAACTCATTTTGTTGTGCTCTAAGACTCAGGGAGGAGTGGCCCGGGACTATCTTGAAGGAGAATCTATTGTTAAGAAACAGACTTCTGCATAAAGCCTAAGCTTCTAGTAGTTTTACCAGACTCTTCATGATCTTGTCCCTGTGTCAGTCTCAAATTCTGTCTTCCTAGCCATTAGGAAGTTTTAAAAAGACCTTTAAAGCTTGCCGTTACCCTCAGGACTTTTATATCCGTCATACTTTTTTTGTGAATTATTTATTAGCCTAATTGCTCATAGTTTTTACTCCCCCACTTCTACCCTTCAGCTGTGTATTATCCTAGTTATGTTTCTGTTGCTGTCATGGAATGCTGATTAGGGGCACCTTGGAAAGGAAAGGGTTGGTTTCATCTCACAGGTGAAATGCCCATCGCTGCAGGAAAGCAGGGCAGTGTCTGTGGTTAAAGCAAAGCTGGTGGAAACAGAGGGAAAGTCATCCACCATCCTTTTACCTCCTGCTGAACTTCGTCTTCACTTCCTCCCCTGTCCTCTGTGTACAGATTCTTGGACGTTTCCTCCGCAGCTTTCATTTTCAGCAGGTTGATTGTTTCTTGGTGTTGTTTCAAAGACTCAAGAGCATTTAGTAACTGCTCTTGAGTATCAACATTCTTTGTAAGAGAAAAAGAATACAATTTCCATTAGGATGTGAAGCACACTAATCTTTTTTGTTGTTGTTGTTGTTTTTTGTTTTGTATTTCAAGACAGGGTTTCTCTGTATTGCCCTGGAGCCTGTGATGGCACTACCTCTGTAGACCAGGCTGGCCTTGAACTCACAGAGATCTGCCTGCCTCTGTCTCCTGAGTGCTGGGATTAAAGGTGTGTGCCACCACCGCCCGGCTTGAAGCACACTAATCTTATAGTTACTGTTTGATCGTACATAACATAACTTCTGCATTTCTAACCGGCTGAACCATACCATGTTCACGGTGTCCTGAATGTCACTTCTGAGTTGGTCCCTCTCCATCTGCAGGCTTGCTTGGAGTTGCTTCAGGGCTTCCTTTTCTTGGGTTAGGACTCTTACTTCTTCTAAGGTTTGCTGAAGCCTCTCAGTGAGCAGTACTCTCTCCTTCTCTGCAGACTGCAGGCTGGACTCTCGGCTTTCTACCTGCTTTCTTAGCTCCTCCATTTGGTCTGACCTCTCTTGACCCTCGCTTGTTTTCTGCTGAAGCTCCTGAGTTTTGTGAGAAAGCTTTAAAGGAAAAGTGAGATACGGTAAAAGCAGAATGTTGCATTGTGCATTGAGATAGACACACATGTATGCAGATGACTCAGGAAAACAGAAGCCTGCTTCTTCTGCTGACAGTTTGTACCAACCTCAGCCTTCAAGGAATCCAAACTCAAACCAAGGCTTTCTGCTTCTTTGGAGAGATTTCCTATTTCCTGCTTCATCCTCTCACTCTCCTCCGAGACCACTTGGTATTTTTGCTCAAGTTCCCCGTGAAGGGTTTTCAATGTTTGCCATGCTTCATCTCTGCTTTTGTAATTCAGCTGGGAAGCTGCAAGGTCATCTTTAGTGTTTCCAATTTCTTCAAGCAAACCTTGAATTCGGCTGTCTTTACGAGCTACTTCAGAAAACAAGTTTTCTCTTTCTGAGGTTATTAAACAGAGCTCTTCGGATTTCTCATGCAGCTATGGAAAAGAAGACATTTAGGGATGTCAGCAAAGTATGACAGATGCCCTGAAGCAACTTTCTGAAAACTTTTAACGTTAGCAAAGATTTGACTGAGGCATGATGCGTTATTTACAGTTCTGAGGTTAGAACTCAGAGCACAGTGCACACTAGGCAAGTACGCAGCCAATCAGATGTCTATAGTAGAAGCAATGCTCTTGTCATTAACTCTTCACTTAGCCTGTTTAAATCCACCTCAAATGTTTTTCATGATGTCTTTGGGTTCCAGTTAAAGAATGCATAGAGAAGGAGTCAGCAGAGACAGCTACCATTTGGAAGTGTTGTCTAATATGACCTTGTGACAAGTGCTTAAGGTTTTCCTCAAAATTTGAAACACCTCCCTAACTAAAATCATTGACTGCAATTCAAATTTCTAAACTATGCTTTTAAGAATTATGTAAGAAGGATCATTTAAAAATAATTAAATAATCCACAATACATTTGTGGGTAGTTTAATCATTGTGAAAGGGAAAAATGAGAGAGCTAAAAAGTCCCCAAAACATCATCTGTCTGTCTGTCTGTCTGTCTGTCTGTCTGTCTGTCTGTCTGTCTATCTTATCTATCTATCATCTATCTATCTATCTATCTATCTATCTATCTATCTATCTATCTATCTATCATCTATCTATCGTCTGTCTGTCTATCCATCCATCCATCACGTTCTGTGCGGGCCCGTGAGAGCATGACTTGTCTCTTCTGTCCCCGCTGAGTTAGACATTCAGAGTCCCCTGTTTCACCTCTTCTCTCAGCATTTCCACCTCAGAGGGTAAAGATTTCAGCTCCGAGAGCAAGCTAACTTCTTTTTGCAAAGCTTCTTTGTCTTGAACTTCTTTATTCAGTTCTCTTTGGAGATCAGTGATCCTTTTCTCCAGTTCCAAATTTGAAAGCAAACCTGTAAGTTTTTGACAGATTAGCTTACACTGACAAGAAAGTGACCCAATTTTTCATAGATTTTAAACAACCTCTCAAGTATTGTCTACTGCATTTGAAAAGTAATTTTAAGCCCCTATTATTGTGCCCACAGAAATACTTATGAACACGGACAACGAACTGAATATTAAATTCTTTTAAAAAAATAAGAGCTTAGCAGGTACTTAATTTTGGGGATGTACTCAATCCATTTAGGTAAATTCCCAGGGGTCAGTGTGCAGACATCTCAATTTGTATGGTACCTTTGCCTTCTACCAGGGCAGTGAGTTTTGATATTTCTTGAAAAGCAAACTGTAATTCCTTGTCTAGATCAACTTGCATTTTCTTTTTGGCCTCCAGTTGACGTTGATATGCCTGAATGTCATTTTCCATTTGCTTACAAGAATCTGAAAGTTCATTCTGTTGGAAAAACATTGGAAACTGATGGCACCATACTGATCACTACAAATCTGATTTCATAAATTCTGAAAAATTACTTACAACTTTCTCCTGCAGCATCAGATTTTCACTTCGAAGAAAGGCTGCCTCTCTCTTGGCATCAAGGGCCACAGTGTCCATATCAGACAATGTTTGCATCACCTGCTTGAGGTCTTCAGTGGGTTCCTAGACAGGCGACAAAAGGGACTCAGGAGATCCAGTTTTGGCAGATTTGGGAAATATGATGGAGAACATATATACATATATGTTATTTCTAGCTGCTCACAAAAGGCAAAATAGGATAAAAATTCTGGCCATACTTTTCTATATCCTAACAGCTACTCTGGAAGTACACTTTAAGAAATTGGTTAGTGTTTAATAAAAAACTTAAACCAGGTATGGTGGCACATACCTTTAAATCCCAGACCTGGAAACAGAGGCAGGTGGATCTCTTGAGTTAAGAGGCTATATTCAACCTATAGAATTTCAAGTCAGCCAGAGCTGACAGTGAGACACTGTTTCAAAGCACCCATCCCACTCACCCACCCACTGGCACTGAGAAAAGAATCTAAAACTATTGAAGCAGTTACTTCAAATCTCTATTGGTAAAATGTTGATAACATTAAGGTCATTAATCAAAGATTTATGTTCATATTAAATATATGTAAATTGATCATAACCAAGCCTGGCACACAGTTGGCACAGTATAACCATCTACTAGGATGATTATGATTACATATTAGAAATGCCAAGTTAATCACACAACAAAAGAAAAGCCAACTTTACCGATGAGTATGACAAGTCTATTTTCATCTTTTCTGACTTCTGGGCTTCTATGCATTTCTGCAGGTCCTTAATCTGGGCCTCTTTTTCTTTAAGAAGCTCCACTTTTGAACTTATTTCATTCTAAAAGAATCAAAGAACAGTGAAATTGAATTTAATAAATGATTTGAACTTAAAATGACAGGAGGACATATTTAAAAATTAAAATTGGTTTAAAATCACTAATATTTATAATATAATTCTTCTATTTTCTACAACCATGTTTAATTATAAGACATACATTAAATACTTATCAAAGAAATGCTATGATAAATGTTTACCTCAAGATCTTGATTATATACTTCTGCATGCTTAACTAAATTCTTTAAGTTGGAAATTTCATGAATCAGTTGCATCTGTAAGAGCATGTGAATAGGAAACAGCAAACTAATTGTTAATAAAGCAAAACAGAGAGAAAACCACAGCTGACCTGAACAAGTGGGAGCTCATGGACCCCAAAATGACAGCTTGGAAACCAGCATAGACCCCCTGAACATGGGCGTCAGTTAGGAGGACTGGGCAGTCTATGGGGCCTCTGGTAGTGAAACAGTATTTATCCCTAGTATCCGAATGGACATTGGGAGTCCATTCTCCATAGAGGGATACTCTCTCAGCCTAGACACATGGAGAAGGGCCTAGGCCCTGCCCCAAATGATGTGACAGACTTTGATGATCCCCCATGGAAGGCCTCACCCTTTCTATGGAGCAGGAGAGGGATGGGATGGGGCCAGTGGAGGGCATGGGAGGATGGGAGGGAGGGGGAACTAGGATTGATTTGATATATAAAATAAAATTGTCTCTAATAATAAAAATCTAAACAAAAGCCAACCAAAGAAAGCATTCTTTACTGCTTCAGAAACACCCATCTTAGGAGGGATTGAGAGATTAATTGTTGAAGCTACTCTAGTAGAGCACCTCATAATCCAAAAATCCTAGAAAAAGCAGCTGGATAGTTGGCTCAGCAGTTAAGAGGACTGGCTCTCCCTCCAGAGGACTCAAGTTCGGTTCCCAGCATCCCGTTACCCATCTCACAACCATTTGTAACTATCGCTCTACAAGACCAGACACCTTTGTGGGCACTGGCACTCACACATGTACATACCTATACTGTAAATGCACATGCATACACATAAATAATAAAAATAAGATCTTAAAAAAACCCAAGAAGAACTACCTAAACAAACTCAGACACATAAGCGTCTAAGGGAAAGGAATCCCAGCATGTTCTCATAGTTATTGCATAAGGCCACACTGACATCACTAGCAAATCAGTAAACTCTAATCACAATTTTAAGAAGCTATATTTTGTATTGGATAGACTGTGTTTGGAGAATCTTAGTCCCCTCCCCCCCTTCCAATTGATTACTCATTTGGCTCTACAATGACACCCTTCCACAAGGTTTGATTCTGGTTTGAGGTGGGCTCAGGCCATGTGAGAACTTTAAGCTATTATTATTGCTATTGAGAACCTACGTAGGCGTGGGGCTGTCAACTCTTACTTTGTTATCTATTCTCAGGAAAACACCGAAAAGAATACTACTGCTTTATATTGTTCAACTATCTAAAAGTATAAAGGAGAAAACATTTGTCTTAATGTCGTTTATCAAAGTGTCGAAAGTTTTGATTTTGTGACTACCAGAAACTTGTAGTAAGCCACAGAGACCAAAACCAGCCAAATAACCAAACAAAACCACTCGGTGCTAGGACAAAGTCACAAATGTTCCCATTTGTTCTGTTCAAGTACAATGGAAAGCCAATCTGGTTGTTTTTAGTTACATTCTCTGAGTGTGTACACATAAGAAAAACGGCAAGACCTCAATCTTAGAAATAAATGTCTTTATGAGAATGATGATGTTGTCAAACGTGTTTTCACTTTGAGTTCATTATTTCTATTTCCCTTACCTCTTGATCCTTCTCTGCTTTTCTTTCGAGATCTTCAAACTCCTCTAAATCATTTTTTTCTTTTAATTTCAGTTTCAGTTCCTCATTTTCTCTTCTTAGCTGCTCATAGTCCAATACCAGATCATCGTATTGAGCATGGAGTGAGTTTAACTCACTTTCTAAGTTTTCCTATTAGAAACAGAAACAAATTTTCCAATCAGAGAGAGTTCAGATCCACTTGTTAATTGCTTAGCTAACTAATATGGAGATTAAATGAATAACCAATTCAACTCTGAGCCAGTTGATACAGGCAATTCTCTGCTTTAGCATTTGCAGAATCTTGCTAACTTGAAAAAGGAATAGGTTAGTTACTTTGAGGAAAACTATGATGGACAGGAAAAAAATCTTAACACAGGGTTTTTAGCTATTTATTTTTGTTGTTTTATTATTTTTGAGAGCCATTTAAAATTTTTTTAAACTAAAAGTGTCTGAGTGATTTTTCCAGCATGTATACAAATGCATGCTGCACATTGCCTATGGAGGTCAGAGAGGGAGTTGTGTCCACTGAAACTGAACTTATAGACAGACAGCTGTGAGCTGCCACGTGGGTGCTGAGAATTGAACCTGGGTCCTTTGGAAGAGCAGCCAGTGCTCTTGACTGTGAGCCATCTCTGAAGACCTCTCTTTATTTTTAAGTAACAAATTCTAGAATATGTGCAGAACACAAAAACACTCTGCCTTGATAATCATCAACTAGTAGTGGCCAGAATTACAGAAAGCAGAAGTTTCCAAAATAAAAACAGGAATTTCCTTTCTATATGTTTAGATAACTCTGCTATATACCCAAGTCTTGTCATTTTTAAATCAGTCATTTATCCAAAGGGATTTCTCAAATCAAAATATAAACTTTAAAACTATCACAAACCCTAAGATTGGTTAGTAAGAGCTGGAAGCCAGCTTCTGTTATATTAGCATATTTACGGAATGGTTAGTCTACCTCTAGATATCTCACAGCTGTCAATCAGAGATATAAAATGAGAACAGTCTTCTCTATAATCAAGCTTGTCTCTGACTTTAGTCAGGCACGGTTAACAATGTAAACTCAGCAAGAAATCAAAAAACCGGCAGGAGAGATGGCTCAGCACTAAGAACACTCGCTACGTACTTTTCCAGCAACTCTCGTCTCTGTCCCCCGTCCCCACATATGGCAGGGATCTGATGTCCTTTGCTGACTTTGCAGGCACCAGGCATGTAGTGGCATACGCACACACAGACATGCATGCACAGGCAAAACATGCACATACGTAAAATAAAAATCTTTAAAACCAAACCAAACCAAAAAATGAAGAATAAAGACAGATGCCCTAATGAATACTAAAAGTTACCTCACTTAGTAGCTTTGTTGCTGAATTCCATTCTACTTCAGCCAATGGTTCAAGAGTGTTATTGAACACATCAGACTCAAAAGAGAGTGCTATAAGCAGACAAAAAAGATGCATGTCATGAACATACATATATATACATATATATATATATAGTGTAAGTTTTGCTAAAAATAAAAATGAGATTAATAAAGAATTCTGAGTAGATGTAAGCTCAAATTAACTTATACTCAGGTACGACTGCCAATAATAGAGACGATTACTGATCATATTACTGGCTGGAACTTGTGGTAAAATAAAGATCTTTGAAACAATCCAGATAAAATGACAAATTCTGCATCTGAGATTTGACCAGTGTCAGTAGATTTAAATATCCCTAAAGATGATAAGAATGCTGAAGACATAAGTTTGAGATAGCATTCTATAGACATGATACACTCTGAAATCCAGAGTAAGTTTAGCTGGATGTTACGTGAAGTCGGTACCATTTTAAGTGAACATGAGAGCGAAATTAAACCAAGCACCTGACTTACATGCTTTAGCCAAATACCACATTGTTTTGGTTATGCAGGGTCTGATTATAACCGAGTCTACCTCTGAATTCCTGGCAATCCTCCTGCCTTAGTCTCTCAAGTACTGGTATTATAAACACAAGTCACTGCACTTGATTTACAATTCATCACTCTTAAGAATCAACAGAATTTCATGAATGTTTATATTGCAATCATATCTGAACTATACATACTTTATTTAACCATATTTCTCATATTAGCCAAATTAATGTCTATGGCGACACATTTTAATTTAATGTATTTCTACTTAGGAAAGTACTCACATTCATCATTCTCTCCCAATCTCATTAGAGAATTTTCTCCCAAAAGAGTCACTGAACTTTTATGTGTTCTTGTTGTTACATTTGTTGGGACTTTAAATTCATTAACATAGTTTGAATCCTTCATTTTGTTAATTTTGCCATAGCACCAAGTAACTCTTCGTTTCTTTTTAACCTTAAAAAACAAGAACAAAAGAAATCAAAATTATTTCACACAGACCCAAACTGAGACAAAATAAAACAAGGAAAATATTTCTTATTTATTTATTTAAACACCATGGTAGGGTCTTAGGTCTGGTTTGTTTTAGGACTTGAGAAACCACAGAGAGCTCTGTGGTAGAGCAAACGCTTACCTTGCACAAGGCTCTGGGTAATCCCACCAACCAAAAAAAAAAGAAAGTTAACTCTTTCCTCCTACCCAAGCATGACCCCCCCCCCCCAACACTGTTATATCCAATAGTCTACCCTGACTCACTCAACAATGCTCTTGCAAATAAGCCACAGCTTCACTGTATCCACAGCCAAGGGACAAAATGCAAAACATCAAATCCTGCTTAGTTTATCCTTCAATTTTTTTCCCCCAATTTGTCCAATTTTACTCCCTGTCCAGAGGTGCAACTTATCTGATGCAGAGAGTAGCTATATCTTTTTAAACCTCAATGTTGATGTCAAATACGAGCTCTGTTGTCCTTAGCATACTGCCATATTTAGATTCCTCAGTGTGTTTTAATATGCCCTGTTCACTGTGTATTTGAAGTTTAAAGTATGTTTACCATGCACTTGCAAAACTCTTAAGCTTTTGGTAATGTTGGTTGTTAATTCATCAAGTAATCAACTAATACTTCTTGAATGTCTGTACTGTACATCTGCTAGTGACTTACACAAACGCCTATTGGTAATTATACTACATACTTACATTAGGATTTTCTGCATAGAAAGGACTGTTTCACACATTCATGAGACTGGATATCAAGCTATCCTTCAGGTAAGATCAATAGTTAGGAACTGATGGAACAGAGATTAGAGTCGAGTTGGTCCGGCTTTGAAGGCTACCCACCTAACCAAAATATCCATCATGTCTACCAGACAAACAGAAACCTATCCCAGGAAAAACAAAAGTACACCTGCTGAAAGGTGAGATTTTGATCTCTACACTGATTTATATGGTTAACTGGTTTCCCTGATCTAATATTACTATTAAATAAGTAGTCATAACCCTAGTGATCTTTGCAGATAGCCATGGGAATGCACAGCAGTGACAACTAGGGTTTAACAAGTCAAGCGGCTTGGCAAAGCCATGGGATTATTGACTCGAGGCTGGATGACATGTTGTTCCTGTCCACAGCCTCTCAAGTGACACTGCTGTGCCTCCCTAATAAGAACAGCCGTAGGGTTCTTCCCACAGTCCTTTGGTGGTGTGTTTTATACTTGTTGGGCACACATATAGCTGTGGATGGTCAGGAAGATAATCCTGTATAATCTGATGAATAAATATTATGATATTTTACATTACTCAGATTGACACAGGATTTTCAGTCACAAAGACAGTTTTTTTACACAGACAGCTAATTTTGGACTTCAGAGCAGATTCAAAGCAGCCTGGTTGCCCCTGGAGACAAAATCACGAGGTCATTTTTCCCAGGTGCTATTTTGCTAATTCAAGGTCAGACTAGAAGCAACTTTTTGTCAGTAATTGACTTTTTGCATGTAGTCCCAGTCTCAGGGTAAGGTCCAGTCTGGGAACCCTCACCAACTTAGAGCTAGCTACATGCACGGGTCAGTGTCACCTTCCAGCGTGAGAGAAACTACGTGACTTGTGTTACGAGAGTGGGCTGTCCATAGTTTGGCTGTGAGAGGGGCAGCAGTGATGCAGGGAGAGAAAGAGGGAGACAGCAGTGGTGTGGAGAGAGATGGCTGTGTAGAGCTATGTGACAGCTGCAAAAGATGAAGTGCGTGTGCGTGAGTATGTGTGTGTGTGTGTGTTCACACTGAGTCCCAGATGAAGAAGAAGCAGAGAGAAGTGTGACAGAGTGAGGGAATGACATACAAGAATGGATGACTGAGAATGTGAGTGTGTGTGTGTAAAGAGAAATATCTAACAGTATATAAAGATATGTAACTGAACACAGAAATACGAGCAGGAGAGAGATGTATGTATGTAAAGAGAGACTGTCAAGAAAGAGCAACTATTTTAAGTTGATGTAAAGGAGAAGGTAAGTGTGTGCTTACTCATTTTCTTCCTTAGGTTACCAGCAGAAAGCATGTCCCCCTCAGATAGGAAAGTTTGGCAATCCTCTGATAAGAATCTTTCCTAGCCCCCGCCACCTTCGTGGATTTTCTTTATATACTCTGGTGCTTATTGGGGGTTGCCTGGTCCCCGCCAAGTCAATTATAGAACTTGGTTCCTAATCATCTTATAAATTTCACTAGACTTTACTACGGTTCAGATGGTCTTTACCAACACCCAGGCCTTTTAGAATGAGTTTCTCTTCACGTGAGAACCGGAGAGAGGTAACTACAACTTGCTTCTTAGGTAGAGATGGTATTTGACAAATACAGAGTACTCTGGGTCTCCTAAAGGTCCCTTAGCAGAGCAGAGGATGAAAGGTTAAGTCAAGCACACGGAAAGGCCGGCTCTGCTTTCTGCCATCTTGTTGCTCTACCTTTAGCTCCTGCTGAAATGCAATAGAAGACGACGTCACCAGCATCCTCTTCAGATTCTGGATTTTCTCATCCTGCACCTTCTGAAGCAAGTCTTTCTCATCCAGAAGCTGCGCCAGTTGATCCTTTTCCATTTCCTGTGCCCGAGTCTTTGTATTTACCTAGGAAATACCCGGTTATGTTAATCATAAACAGTAAAAATTGAGTCCTTGAAAGTAGCTTCAACAATAGAAAATTACATTTGCACTTAATCTCTGAAAACTTTAATTTTATTGTCTACATGCAGGAACCCAACATGTAACTCTCACAGACAATACTTATTCAAACTTAAGAGATAAAATACATACATTTCTTCTCATTAGGAGACTATATCTCATGTTAGGATAATGTTGTTAATTCTATTAATTGCCTATGAAGATAAGAGTAGGTAGGGAAGTCAAAGAAGCTAAAATTTGAAAACTGTAATAGTAGAGATACTATGTCACTTGACATTTTAGCTCACTAAAAAAACTACTAAAATGAAAGGTTTTTATAAGATATGGGAGCATGATGAAAAAAGAAATGAAATAGAATGACAGGAGAATTAGTCTACACTTAGAGGACTAGACTCAGGGAAGAGGAGACATTCAGGAGAATGGAAAAGTACAGAAGGTAGCTTTAGTTACTATACAATCCATATGCAAAGGCACATGGTCTCTCTGTAAGGAGTACGGTCTTGCCGCCACGCCGCCAGCCCCAAATAATGCACAGAGACTCTGTATTTGACACAATGCTATTGGCCAGGTGCTAGTTTCTAATCGGCTAGCTCTGTCTTAATTATTAACCCATTTCTATGTATTTCCACGTGGTCTTACCGAGAGCGGAGGAATGGCGGTTCTGTTCTCTCCAGGCTCTCTATCCTGGCTCCTCCTCTTTACTTCCTCCTTGTCTCCTAGTCCCTTCTATCTAGCTTTCCTATTGGCCAACAGTGCTTTATTCATTAACCAGTATGAGAAACATACAGAATGATATCTCCCATCATCTCTCAACAGAGCTCAGTAATTTCAAGAAATGTCCCCTCCTAACATTTTTATTTTTGAGACAGATGTAGTCTAGGCTGGTCTAGAAATGGCTAAGGATGATCCTGAATTCCTGGATTTCCCAGCCTCTAACTCCAAGGTACTAATATTAGACACACCCACCACCAGGTTTGGTTTTCTGAGGTGTCGGGGATTAAGCTCAGGCCTTTGCACGCACTAGGCAATCATCCTATTGATTTAATGACAGACAACTCCAACAGTCAAGAAACAAGATATTTTAGTTCATAGTGAATTTCTTTTGTTGTTGCTGGAGATGGATCCAGGCCCTTGAACATTTCAGGTAGCACTCTACCTCTGAGTTCCATTCTAATTCCTAAAGTTAAATTTTGATGCATTTAAATTGAGTTAGTGTAAGTTAAAATCTGTTTGCTTTAAAATTAAGTTGTAGCAATTCAGATATTACTAAATCTATCGTCTTTCAGGCAGATCTCTGTCATTCTCTATTGTCTCTTAGTCCTTTACAAAATAAAAACCGTACGAACCTCCTCTAACTGCTTCTTCAGGTCCACTATCTCTCTTCTGTACCTTTTCAGGAGAGCCTCATCGTTCGACACCTCATTCACATAAGGAGTATTCTTCATGTACTTAGCCGTGCTGGCAAACTGGGGCAAAACAGCAAAGTACAAGATGCTCAATATCCAGTTCCAACAGTCAATAACACTTGTTTCTTACAACCAGCTTCCTTTGGGGAAAAAAACAAGCAAGCAAGCAAACAAACAGCACTTCTGGCTTCTCTTTTCTCTCAGTTTTAATCTTCTTTGGGAAGGGTGATGTGTATGTGGTGTGTTCACGTGTGCAGGCACACATTATGTGCATACATGTGTGTGTACACAGAGGACAAGGGCTACTGTTAGCCATCTTCATCCATTGCGCTACCTTCTGTACCGAGGCAGGCTTTCTTACTGAACCTGCAGCTTGCGGATTTGGCTAATCCAGCAGGTCAGCTTGTCCTGAGATCCCTTGTCTTTCTTTGTTTCCCGAGTGCAGGGATTGCAGGAGAGGTGTTGTGCCTGTCCAGCTTGGATGCTGCGAATCTGAACTCTGGTCCTCAAACTAGTGAATAAAGTGTTTTGCTGTCTGAGTCGTCTCTCCAGCTCCCAGGATGCCATTCCTATTAGCCAGTTTACTAATTCCAGGTAATCATGTTGGAAGCCAAGTCTCATGGACTTCATAAATGCTGTGAGGCTAGCAGTACATTGATTTAGTACTAAACAGCTAAAAGTCTTTTCTTTTCTAGCCAGGATCTTGTTACATGGCTCAGATTGGCCTGAGACTCGATAGATGGACCAAGCTAGCCTCAAACTCAGAGAAACCACCTTGTTCCTGCTTTCAGGAGCTAGAATTAAAGGCATATGTCATTATACCTGGCTTAATCTGTTTTCTATTGTAGAGTGGTTTACGCTACCCAGGCTTCCTAAACACTGGGATTTGAGGCATGTGCCACCATGTTCAGCTTTAAGGCATTAAAGTGTTTTTCCCACAATGGGGAAAACTCAAGGTCTGTGTATGCTCTGCAAACATTCTACCAGAGCTGCATCCCCCCAACAACTAATCAATGCTAACCACTGCTTAAGGTAACCATTAACAACACCAGACCCCTTAGCAAGAAAGTTGTGATATTAACTTGTTTTCCATTTTTCCTTTTAAATAGAAAATGCAGGCCTGCAACTCTTAAGTAGCTAACCATTAGCAGAAATTCACTAAATGTTTGGTCACACACATTATATGTTTTTATATTACTATTTGTGCCAAGTAACACTAGCTTTTCATTTATGAATCTAACATGAAGCTTCTAGTTACTATGTATCGATGAAGAAAATGAGTTATTTAAAGAAAATACCAAGTTATTTCAGTTAAAAGTATTGGATGTTCCCCAAACTATAGAGATGGGATGCAAATACTAAAACTTAGGAATTAAATTAAATTAAGAATGACATTTGCTAGTCCGTACATCAATTTTTTAACAGGCATTATGTCAATGGCAGAAAAATGACTTGTCGACTCACCTGAAGAGTGGTTAGGGTCTCATCCAATGACACTGGAGTAATGGTGCAGATGATGCGTGTTTTTGCGTTTCCTCCCAAGGAATTCTGAAGAATGCGTGTTAATTTGCTGTCTCGGTAATTTATGAAGCCACTTAACAAGAGACAAGTGTGGGAAGACAATGGTTGAGAATGTACATATAAACATGTTTTCCTTTAAGAAAATGAACATTTAGTCATAATTTTATAAATTAAATTTTTACAGGTTGCATCAGGCAGACTAAACTGCTAATTAAAGATACCTAAGGTAAGAAATAAATTCAGTAGTTAGTTATAAGCATAAGAAGCTATGTTCATAAATTATGCATGTATATTAAAATGGCACAATGAATGAAGCACATTATTATGTATAATATGTGCTAATAAAAAATAAAAAAAAAAATTAAAGCTGGGTATGGTGGCATACATCTTTAATTCCAGCAGGCTGATATGTGAGTTCAAGGCCAGTCTGGTCTACAAAGCATGTTCTGGACAGTCAGAGTTATTACAGATAAATCTTGTCTCAATCAATCAATCAATCAATCAATGAATAAATAAATACAAATAAAAAGGACTCGCCAGGCTGGCAAGATGGCTCAGTGGGTAGAGACACTTGTGCAAAGGTCTGAAGACCTAAATCAGACTTGGGTTCTACAAGGTGACAGGAGAGACAGGATTCCTAAGAGCTGTCCTCTGACGATCAGCTGTGTTTGTAAAATTGAAAAACAAAAATTTAAGAAGAGTTCTCTAGGCAAACAGCTCAGGTTCAGATACAGATGAAGTGTAGGTGGCAGACTAATGCTGGAGACAGGGATGGAAGTGCTGTGGGCTCTGACACCTGTAGTGTGCACTGTGTCAGCCACAGACGGTCGGTCCTAGGGAAGGGTTAGAGAGGCGGCTGGTCAAATCACCTGGGGCTCCCACAGGAGCAAATAAAAACGCTAGGCTGTACAGCCAGGACATCACAGATTCTTAGCTGACGAAGCATTCCTTACCTTGCATGCCACATGTGTACTGAAATGTGACACTGTACACTGTAAGTATGTCCAATTATCACATCTCAAATAAACACACATGATTAAAAATAGCCAGCTCAGAGAAACCCAGAACCTTTTTAACAGTGTAGAAGGAATCAATATACTTGACTGTGACTAAAGTATTGCAATTTCCCATATAATAAAAAACCATAGGAAATAACTTACCCAAATTGTTCATCACTAAGTTTCTTAATCACTTGACCCAAAATAAATAAACTCCGATTTATATTACAGCCTTCCTTGAGTCGCACACCTGAGTTAAACAAATGCAAAAATTAACTCTGTACTAGATAAAGCACTTGCTAGTAAGTTGTAATTCAGACGTGAAAGGGTCGGATGCTAAAATCTATGCTGTGGTTCAACCTGAGCTCACTTAGAATACTAAGTTCTTCCTAGTCTGCCCACCTGTGAAGTCAAGCAGAAACATCATCAGCCAAGAGAAAACACCAGGAAAAAGTGACTCAGCGAAATCAGTGATTTCAGCGAAATCTTTTTATAAACCTTGAAATAAAAATGATTGATCACGGACTACTTCCAACTAAATGTCAGTAGTTTTCATTTTTAAATGGCTAATATGCTTACATGATTCAAAAGGTTAAAATGCAAACCTTGAAAAAGCACAGGCCCGCTTTCCCCGTCCAGACAGTTCTATTCCTCACTGGAAGACCAATATCCCTCCTTTGCTTTTCCTGAGACTCGAGAGGCCACATCTTCCTGTCCCTTTCTAGCCAGACTGTACACTACTTTGTGTTGCAGACAGGGTCTCTCTATGTATCCCTGTAACTCCATATGTAGACAGGCTGGACTCGAACTCAGAGATCCACCTGCCTCTGCCTCTTGAGTGCTGGGATTAAAGGTGTGAGCCACTACCACCTCGTTTTACATATTACTTTGCATTTTGCTTTTTCCTTTAAAAATGTATTTCAGAAAGAAAGAATCCCCTATGGGTAAAGACTGACCTTCATTTCCTATCACACAATTCTTTTATTTTTTAATCCCACTTTAATTGTCCTACCGAAAGACACACGTGTCCAATCTTCTGCTCTTAGAAAAAATACTGTGACAAGCAAGTTTGGACCAGTATTTTGCTCCATTAGTTACCAGTTAATATTGCTGGCCAGTTTAAAAGGACCTGCATTTCTTTCTGTTCACACCTGAGTGCACACTGGCTTTGCTCTGGTTTGGCACACACAGACCAGCCTGCTGGGTGGCTCCAGTGGGGTGACCTGTGCCTCTTCCGTTCTTACTCTTCAATCAGAAGCTCTCACTGGTTAGGAATGCCAGCACGAGTAGGCCATGCGTTATAAATGCCCCGTTTATACCTTTCAGACTCTGTGTAGTAGACAGACACAGTCTTTCCCACTATAGACTGACTTGACACTTACAGGCTCTCCCCGTGGTTCCTAGGCTAGCCTTGAACTTACAGTCCTCCTAGCTCAGCCTCCTGGAGTCCTAGGGATTACAGGTGTGGACCTCCAGCTCCTACATGTCGACTCTGGTCTAGTAGTAGGCAGACCCATGTTTAACTACCGTAGCTCCATGTTTTACCAGCCTGTGGGGCTCTCGTCAGATTTCTCAGATAGTCTTGTCTGTTTTCAATTTTCCATACACATTTTAAACCATTGCATCTAGTTTAAACACAAAAGTGCACTTTTGACTTTATCAGGAATGTTTTAAATCTAGAATATACATACGCTTGACCTCTTTATAATTTTGAATCTTCATATGTAAGTGTAGTTTTTCATTATTTCGAGTCTTTACAACCTTTTGAGTTTAAGAACTTTACATTAGTTTTATGCAACCTTTGAGTATCTTGAGCATCTCCTAGACACCACATTTTATTGATCTAGTCTTTTTTTTTTTTTGTCCACTAAAATATTCAAACTCTGTTTTGGCTTATGAGTTACTTTTATCGATTTATTTGAACCCTATCACCTTTTATTTGGATTTTCTTATATTTTGTTACTCATATAAAGAGAACGAGAAAAATTACATGGTCACTGTTGTCATGAAAAATTAGAAGTATGCAGTTAAATCTGGCTTCAATGTCGCAAGGCTTCCTGTATGGCCACATTTGAGAACACCGCAGTGCAGACACTAGGAAGCCCTCTTGGAATGATTTTGACTTTTGTTCTTTTTCTTCTCGGCACTAGTCATGGCCACTGTGCTCTTTAATGGAGCAAAGGTTTCTGAAATATGGTGTCAAGGGAAACAGCAAAGTATAGAACCAGTATATCAGTTCCCTTTCTTACTTTCCTAATTAATTAAGATAGCTTAGATGGTTTTCATAGTACATTCCCGGGCTTCCTAGCTACACAGCCCTATCAAGGACAAAACTGAATTTTTAGGTTGGCCCTGAAGTAGGTCAAAGTAATTAAGTTTGCTTTTTATAATGAAGACTTTCATCTGGAAATCATTACATTATCAGCACTTTTAACACAAATGGTCAGTCATTATCAAGTTCTCATTACCTTCAGCTCCTGTTTGAGCAGCTCTTTCGCTGCCAGCAAGGTCTACCAAATTCTGTAAGAAAGATAAAAATGGCTTCACTTCAAATTGGTTTAGTCAGAGAGTTCAAAACTATCCTTACTCTTTCATGGTTAAAGTCATAAGACCTAAAGGTCTAAAGGCATACATGTCTTATCTAAATAACAAGATATTTAGTCTAAGGTATGGTTAATAAATGTTTGGAGAATTAAGGAAGAAAGTTCCTTGTATAAAGATAAAGAAATCTCTTGCCATTTTTCCCCTTTTGGTTGGGGTATATTAGAATGTTGAAGAATAAACTTGGGGCAATCTGTATTTCCTGGATTGCCCTCCTGACTCTATTCTGTGTCATTTCCTTAGTATCTTTATATGCCATTTCCTCAATCCACATCCCTCTCTCAGGTACAAACCAGGCTAGGCAGCTGGATCTGACTGCAGCCCCCAAAGATGGGCTACTACAAGACCCAGCTCTGATGCTGTTGGTGGCTGGGAACAGACTCAGCTCCTGCAGGTCCACAGTCATCACACGCAGGAACAGAGATGCTCTTGCTAACTATCACTCAACATCTCAGCTAGTACTCGAGGCCACTCCCATGATCACTTATGCGGACAGCTACTGACCCTTTGTTCCCACTTTGTAAACAGTTCCCAGTCAAGCCCTCACCCAGTAACCTGTCTTTTTGGGCCCATGTGGAAAGTTATGGTTTATAAACACTCACCAAATGCGACACCTTGATAGATCCGTCACAATTAGAAGATTCACCTTTTTCTCTGCTTTCCAAAATCTAGACAGAAAAGGCAACTTGTCAAAACAAGTAAACTCTCCTTTGGAAAGACCAAATGTAGGGAGAGACACAAATACCCACCATCCTAAAAATCGTATGAGAACGACTGCTTCTTTGATTCATTTTAGTTATTCCATAATGTCTGTTCTCTGTAAAAAATGAGTTACATGTCAATGTAACAAGTCAAATGGAAGCCTGTCTTGTTTCAGTTCAATAAAAGATGGGGCTTGGTAGCTTTGATATGCAGCAGCCTTACTTTCTCCCATTGAGATCCATTTCAAAGCCATCTCTGCCGTATTAACCACCTCTTCTGTAAGATCAGCAACATACACATTCCTCTGAAAACAGTTTCATCGTGAAAGGGTTAGACAAAGTTTGCTTTCCAAGTTATAATCTACTGCAGAATTTGGAAAAGTTTAAAATAAAAAAAGGAACAATTATTCTGCAGAAAAAAAAGCAACTCATTCACAATTCACTGCTTACACTGAACACACAACATTCTTTTTTATTTTATAAACTTCATTATAAAAACCTTGTAAATTAAATACATTACACACTAAAATTATCCAGAATATGTACAACTCAGTGAACTTTCATGTACTTAGAATAGGCAATTGGAACAGAAACTATTTTAAAGTATAAATTTTCTGCATCAAATACGTATTATGCCCTTAGTTCTCTAATTCATTAAATTTTAAATTAATACCATTCTTATATGACCATTTGATACATATGCCCAGATTACTCTCCCACCCGCCCTAGCTCCCTCATAGTGCTATCACCCCCATAACTGGTACCAGTGCTGTTCCCACCGTGATTTTGAGTTTGGTGACTCAGTCAGTTAATTAGGGACATTTATGCTGCTACTGAATCCAAACTGGATCCACTTAAGCAAGGTTCACACATGAAGGCAATGACTACTCTTCCTGTAGCAAAACAGCTGGGCAGTGTACATAGGGTCCCCTGAATGGCACCTCCCTCCAACTGACTGCTGATAGGTCCATTTTTGTGCTGACACATTGAGGTCACCTGGCTTTTGGACTCACATTGATGTCTTCCCGAATTATCAAAGGTTTCGTTTTTTGAGCATTACAGAGTAAGTCTGTAATGGTTTCATTGTAGATCTCCATGTAAGACACCCGCAAGAGAAATTCTCTCTCAGGAAACTAGAAGAGAAACAATGTGCAAAACATCAGAAAGGTCCCACTTATAAACTAGCTTCACACATTCACGCACTGAGCGTAAAGAGCCCAAGAAAAGTTATCTACAATGCCAACAGCATGGCTGTATGATGCTAAAAAAAAAAAATCCACAAAAGTAGTATTTCAGAAATAAATTCTCTAGGCTCAAAAAAAGAAAAAAAAAAATCCTAACAATAGATGCTTTGACTTTCAAGCAAATGCTTATTTGAATCACTAACAGCTGAAGAGATGGCTCAGAGGTTAACAGCACTGGCTGTTCTTCCAGAGGTCCTGAGTTCAATTCCCAGCAACCATATGCATATGGTGGCTCACAACCATCTGCAATGAGATCTGGTGCCCTCTTCTGGCATGCAGGCATAAATGCAAACAGAACACTGTATACATAATAAATAAATAAATCTTTGCTGGGCAGTGGTGGTGCATGCCTTTAATCCCAGTACTCAGGAGACTGAGACAGGTGGATGTCTGTGAGTTCCAGGACAGGCTCCAAAACAAAACAAAAGAATCACTAGTAACTGAACAACGATAACATGGTATTAACTGTTCTGATAGGATCTCCTACTGCTTAATTTAGTCTACTTTTGTGGGAATAATACTGTTCTGGGGTTCAGTGGAAAAATAAATCTGAGAACTCTGAGTTCTATGAAGTGTGTGAATCAATACTGTGCTTTTCTCTTCCCATGAGAACTGGGAGATGAGTGTGAATCTCCTTTTCTCTTTCATTGTTTCAAGAGGAAAACACCAACTGCCACTCATTTACCACTACCTGTTATCTATGTTTGCTACTTAGGCTGAAGTTGTTACCTTCTTAATCCTTTGGAAAATGTCATGAATTGCCCTGGGTATAACTCCCAAACAGTCTTCAGAACCCATCATAGTATGTGTTTTTCCTGATGCAGTTTGGCCATAAGCAAATATGGTACCTGTAAAAACAAGTCAAATAAATAAGTAGGTAAGTAAATAAATGCATACAAAGATTCTAAACAAACTCACAGTGAATAAAACTGTCAATACGCAATGGAGTGGACCTGAGATGTTTGTGTAACATGAAGAGAATACAAACCATTGTAGCCTTGTATAGCAGAATTGATGATTGGCACTGCGATTTCTTCATACACATTTTTAGTGGTTTCATCACTATGAAACACACGATCTAAAAAGAACAACACACAGATTCAATCAAGCATATCAACTGCATTTTCAAAGAATTAGAAATTACCCAAAGAAACAAACTGTCAGATTCTAAAATGGTGATATTTCTCAACATCATTTCTTTAATGTTTTTTTTTTCCTTTTTGTTTCAGAAAGTGCCCTTCTCAAAGGAAAAATGCCCTGGTTTTCATGTAGAAAAACATACACAACAATACTATGTATTTTTAAAGGCAGCCTAGCACAGTGGCTCAGATGGGTCTAGAGTCTGACAGGTAGAATCCTAATTAGATTTTCTAAATGTTGGGCCTTGGCCTCTAACTTATAAAACAGGCATATTACCATCTTTAAAGAATTATTGTGAACATATTAGTACTTAGGAAATGTGAAAAGTTATTAATTTTTGAGTTTTATTTTATAACATATCTTGCCAAAAGCCTAGCTCAAGCTAAATCAAGAAGACACTGAAAAAAAAAAAAAGCGAAAGGAAACAATGGCCTGCCTGCTAAATTTAGACATTTATACTTATAAATTTGCCATTCTAGGATCTGAATCTTTGCTTTTGTTAGTAAACTAAATAAAATGTGACACTTTTCCAAGGTGAAAAAGTTTTAACAATGAGATGACAACCTAGGGTCTGGGAAAATGGCTCAGTTTAGAGCACTTATTTTCTAGTTCTGGCTGGCCTTGAACTCCTGATCCTCTTTCCTTCAGAGTGCAGGGAATAGAGGCTACTCCATCAGGCACATGCTAACTTCTGATGCTATTATAAGCTTACCAAAATTGAAGGATTTCCCCCCATCACTCTGATAAATAGCATTATTGTCAGTTTTCCAGTAAACGTGGGCATCTTCTCCAAGTTCCTCTTCTCTGGAAAAACAGAACACCATACTTTAGATCACAGAGGTCACACCACAGGAGGGGTCATTTAAAACATTTCACATTCTCAAGAATACTTTAGAAGTTGGCAATTACAAGAAGTCTACCCTGGGAGGGTCAGGACTCAACTCTCTTAAATAAAGCTTAGCGATGTTCAGTTTCCTAGTGCAAAGTGCTACTCTGATTATATTTCTTTTCAAGGGGTGTCTGACTTTTCACATGTGACATGATGCTGCCATGTACAAAGCCTTACAATAGAATGTTACAAAAGAAAAACAAACAAAAATCCCTTTTGCAAAGCCAAGTTTTATAGTTTCAAGTACGATTATTTGAGCTATATTCATGGTTATCTTTGGCTGCTCCGGGGGTCTACTGCCTGTCTGAAAGAAACCCTAAACAAACAAACACCTAACTTTTGGAAACTTCTAGAAAACTTAATATTCCATAAATCACCTGAATCATGTCACTGGTCTCCCCCCTCCTCTCATTAGGAGACAGTGTCTGACTATGCAGCTCTGGTTGGCCTAGCACTCACTAGGTAGCCCAGGTTGGTCTACAACTCAGAGATCCCTGCCTCTGCTCCCAGAGTGCTGGGATTAAAGGCTGTGAGCTACCACAGGCACTAGTAATGTCTTCAATGACACTTTCCTCTAAATTCATATACCAAGCACCACATCAGTCAAATGTCAAAGCTCTGCGACCCATCCATTAGTAACCACCTGCCCTTTCACTTATGAAAAGGGTCTGGATTTTCCTGATGCCAGGTGCCCCCACCAATCTGTCACCTCTGAAGGTCCGGTCTCTTTCTCCACTCACTTTTCACAGTGCATTGCAATGGCTTACATGGGCTGTTCTAGTTTGCTTTCTGTTTCTGTGATAAAAACATTCCGATCAATGGCAAACTGGAGAGGAAGCGGTTTATCTCATCTTATACTTCCTGCACCGAGGGAAACTGAGGCTGGGTTTCAAGCAGGAGCAGAGGCAGAATGCATGGAAAAACAATTTACCATCTTGCTCTCTCTGGCTTCTGCTCAGCCAGCTTTCTTATACAGACTTGAATCCCACGAGTAAGGATGGTGCCACTCACAGTGGCCTGAGCCCTCCTGTATCAACTAGTAACCACGAAAAGGTGCCAAAAGGACGTGCCCACAGGCCAGTCTCATCGAGGTACCCTGCAATTGAGACTCCCTCAGATAAAGCTGGGCTGTCAAGTTGACAGCTAAAGACAACTAGGAGACGTTTTTCCCAAATCAGGGAAATGCCCAATTTCGCCAACACCAGAAGCTTTAGCCTCGTTAGCTGCAGGCCAGAAGCCAGCAAAGCCAGGAGACTGCATTTCACACACACGCCCTGCCTTTTCCTCCTGCCATTCTCGACCCTACTCCACTACTGCTTGCATTTTCTGTCCCCGGGATCGGCGGGAGCCGGGGCAGCGCGGGTCCCCGGCCCGGACTGCAGCGCGGTCGCCCGCCGCCTACCTGCTGTTGAGCGGCCGCACCCGCACGCACACCGCCACGGCCGCCTCCTCCGCCATCCCTCCTGCAGCAAACCAGGAAAACGCAGGAGGCCAACGGCACCCACCAAGCTGCACAGCCGCCCCGCCTGTAAGTTTAAAAAGTCGTCAACGTCGCAGCTGATTGGGCCGCGCAGCGTCATGACGTCACGGGACGGTCCACGCGCGGCGCGGAGCAGGGGGGGGGCGTGAAGGGGGGCGGGACGGGAGAGGCGGGAGGCGTGGAGCATCCGGGCTCGCGGAGCTGAGATGCCCCGAGCTGGAGCTGGCAGCTTGCAGAACAAAAGAATTATAGCCTTTAAAAAAGCAAACCAAGCCAGACAAACTTTCGTTTTATTTCAAAGCCTCCAATGGGAAGAGCTGGAACCGACTGTCCTGGCAGGAAAGGAAGATCTTTTTGGATTCGTTCCATCGAGGCGTTTTCCCTTTTTCTTTCTTTAACTTTCATTTCCCTTGACTGTGCCTTGGGGAAGGGAATCGCTGGAAACTGGAAACGTGTTGCGGAAGCTTTCAATAGATCAGCACCAGAGCCGCAGGGGGCAGAATAAAAACCGTAGGACTAGGTTTGGGAAAACTCACATCCTGTTATTGGTCACGGTAGCCCTGGAGACTCCCAAAATAATAACCCCAGACCTCAGGGAAGAGGTTTCCAGATCGGACCCAGCTCTGAGTTTCCAAGTCCTGACAATTCGGATGTGTTCAGTAACAAGGACTTCAGCCTCAGGGAGGCGACCAAGGACAACAGCAGTGCAACTTGGGGAAGTCAGTTCTCTCCTCTGCCATGTGGACACGTGGGTCCCAGGGATCCAATCCAGGTGGCCAGGGCTGGCATCTGAGCCATCTTCTCTGCTCTGTTTCATTTTTTTTTTTTTTTTTTTTAAGTGGGCAAATATGATGTATATTTAGCTGCAGGGAGAAAGCCTATGAAGGGGAAGAAGGGTTTTGTAATAACAGGCTCACAGTGAGGAAGGAATGTTGATAGCAGCAGAAGCATTGAACTGTGGTAGCTGTGCTTACGATTGTTGTCATACTGTCTTTGCTATCGTTATACAGCATTCAGTGTTTATTGAATGTTTATTGACTGTATCCCATTATATGCTCCGTGCCCTTGCATTATCTCATTTGTCAAAGCTGTCCATCAAAAGATTCATTAGAGGGAAAAATATGGGGACTGACAGGGTAAAAGAGGAGCTAAATTTGATAAAAGGACATAATACATTATTTAGATGATAATATAATATAATATGCAGGTATAAAATATCACCACAAAATAAATTGTCTTGTACAACTAATATAGAGTAGTGAAAAAGATGTTTCCTGATGGTATAGGCCTGTAACCTTAGGTACTCAGCAATCTGAGGCAGCAGAAAAGCCACATTCAAAACCGGTCTGGCTTGTGAACTGAGTTTAAGGCCAACATGGACAGTTCAGTCAGTCTTAAAAATAAAGACTAAAAAGGGGGCTGGGGCTGAGGGTCCTATCTCCTATGTTTAATCCCTAGCAGTGCAAGAAGAAAAAAGGGATTCATTGAGAAACTACTAATGGTTGTTAGTATTCAGACATCTATACTGGCTTGTTCTTGGGGTTTTGAAAGGGTATGCTCTCAGCTGTAGCCACAAAGAGCTCTGAACATTTAGTATGTTCCCTTTTAAAAGGGTCCTACCCCCTCTCCTGTCCTCAGAGGCCCGTCTCCCTTCTCTCATCCCCCTTTCCCATTCACTTTCCCCCTCTAAAAAACCCTCCACCCAAGCTCTGTTACATGGCATCTTGAGTGATGTTTTTTCTTTTTCTTTTTGTTACAACAATGGTGTGTCTTCACAGCAATGAAAGCCTAAGACAGCCGTAAACAGATTCCATTATTCTTCTCCACATACCCCAAACTCTACAAATGCTCATGCAACTGTCTGCTCGCTTTCAGTCCCTGGTTTGCACGGTTGTTGGCCGCTGCAAACTCCTGTCGAATGAGATTAGCTAGTCTTTCTTCCTGTTCCTCATATTTCTGCACACCCAGGGCCCACTGCAGCAGCACACCTGTGAACTGCTGAGATCAGTCGTTGTTTAGCTTCTGTTTTTGCTCTAGTGTTTTCCAAATCTGCTCACTTTTCTGGGCACTGGCATTGAAGGAGGCTTTGTTATATGCGTCTGTTCTTTTTCTCTTGGCAAGAAGAGCTTTGTGAATGCCAGCCCCCCCCCTTGTTTCCCCCAGCATATTCTGTACTTTACCTCCCAAGTTGCCGGTTATTCTTGCAGAAGGGCTTTCCTTTCCACATTTACCAGTTTCTGGAGTCTTTTTTCTCATCAATGTCCTCCTTCGAAGCACCTAGATCTTTATCTTCTTTCTCAAAGTCAGAACCTTCCTTAGGCTGATCCTTCAAAGGTGGCTTCCATGTAGGCGTCCCTGTAGGGTTCCTTCTTATAAATATTGCAGGTCCCCTTGCTGTCATTTTCAGGGTCCCACAGCCACCCAGACCCTCTGAGGGCCCCCCATCTTGTGACCCTCCCCCCTTAGTTACCAGGATCTAAAGAAAAGTTTTCTAAACTTCACCTTCTGCCTCACCAGTATCTTGTCGGGCCCAAGCTGTCAGGTTCAAGCAGCACCTGAAGATTCCACAGAGCTCAAACAAGAAAGACAACCAGCCACCTCAGGCTAAGCCCCTTAGGGATGACTGATGCCCACCATTCAGCTTGAAGCAGTTTGAGAGACCCAACAACCCCATTCCTGTCCACCGGACACTTTTTATAATAAAGAAAGAGTGGAATGTTGCCGTTTCTGGGGTTCCATGGCCACCCATGTGGCCATCAGCATTCAGGCAAAAAGCTCAGTCATCCCAGGTGTCAGCGTTTCTCGGGTTGACTGTGCATGTGCCATCAGGAGTGGATATGGAGTGGGATGGGGGGAGGTGGAGTAGAAGGGTAAGGGGAAGGAGGGGGGGGACTTTTGATAGTATGTAAAATAAAAAAAAATAAAAAAAGAAATCTGTTTCCTCAGTGGTTTTCCGCCTCCTAGTGGACAAAAAGCTCATCCTTCCAGTTATCCAGGTAGAAACTATGGTGAGTGCCCCCCACTCTCTCCAGTCTATGGTCAACACACCTTGATATCTTTTTAGGGCTGCCTCGAATATTCCAGAACATAGCCATTTCTGACAACTCCTGCTGACAGCCTGGTCCTTGAACATCTCATCCCCACTGTGGGTCTATTCTCAACGAAACTTTAGCGGTTCTTTCAAACCATGTCAGCCTTGTCACCGTCACCCAGTGCCACCTCCCTACTCTCATGTCCTTGCTCAAACTCTTCTAGTTGTTCCCCAAAGTCCTGATCATTTTCATCCTCCCCCCCTTTCTTTCTCTTTTTTTTGGGGAGTGTGTGTTGGGGCACAGAATCCTGGACCTCATACTGTGATAAACCCGTGCCGTATGCCTAAGCACATTTGCAGCCCTCGGTTTTGTCCTTGGTTAACCCTGGTCTCCTCACTTCTTGCTACTTACTCCTTGCTGTCCACACCGGCGTACAGGCTCCCTACCAGAGCCCTGTTTCTGTTCTCTGTAGCCCGTAGATCAGCGCGCTTCCCCGTGATTCTGGGATCTCTGTGAATATTCCCTTCTCAGAGCTTATTCTCTGCACAAAATAACAACCCTGTCTTCTGTCACTCCTGTTTTTTCTGCTCTTTTTGAACTATGATTTCTGCTTATAACTTTCAGAAATAACACTTAAATGAATTTATCTGTATAAAAGTGGTCTCCTCATGTGGTGGTATTTTATGTATTTATTATTAAAGCTTGCCTGAGGATTCAGAAAGCAAAACGAGCCTCAAGCTATAGAGATCAGGCAGTGGTGGTACACACCTTTAATCACAGGACTCAGCATTAAGAGATAGACAGATCTGAGTTCAAGACCACCCTGGGCTACTGGAGAGTAAATCAGAGCTCACGCCTTTAATCCCAGGATTTGATAGGTATAGAAGGCAGAGGTATTCACTCTCAAAAGGTATTCACTCTCCGAATTAGTCTCTAACCACGTCGAGAGCACAGCAGTCTGAGTGAACTGTGAAGTCGGGAGAAGTCCAGGGATCGCCCCTTTGTCTGAGCTGCCGTAGAGGTAAGAGTGCCTGGCTGCTCTGCTTTTCTGAGCTTCAGCTTGAAGCCTGAACCTCATTATCAGTCTCTGGGTCTTTTATTTCTCGTGATATGTCCTCATTCTAGAATATCAGCTCAATAAATTAACCAAGTAGCTTTTTACTCCTTATACCCATTACCAGGGTGCTTGGTATAAATATTCAGTTTTACAAGGTTGCTTTACTCATATGCTTAAAAACATGCGAATATTAGTTTCCCACAAGCTAAAGAAAAGGGTAGAAATAGTCTATAAAGTGGAGTTTATTAATTAGAGATTATTTTGGTTATCATATTGTGAGCTTATTTGCGCTTTTCCTTTTTTCATAGTTAAACTGTAAAACAACAAGGCAGTACTCAGGAGAGGCATAGAGATTAACTAACTAATGCATGTACAGTTATAAAACTTCTAGGGAGAGACACCTACACAATATAAATTTATATACATACATATACTAAATGCCCACAGGTTTTATTTTTCACTTTTATTAAAAATTGATTTTCTTATACAATATATCCTGATTACAATTCCCCCCCCCATTCCTCCCAGTTCCTCCCTCTCCTCCCCCCTCCAGACCCACCCCCTTTCTGGAAAGAGACCCTTAAAGTGTGCATGCATGGTGTTTTCTCAATAGGTAATTTTTATTCACTTTTTGTCATAAGATTAATGCATGTCTACAGTTAAAATTCAAACAGTGAAAGAGTCCAAGTGAAAAATATTCTTGAATTTGATTCCTAAAGGTACAGTTTGCCTAGTGCTCTGCTTAAAATGTGGTATCTTACATAGATATTTTCTCCTCATCTAAGAAGGGAATTTCTGGACACAGTGATGTTTTAATTAATTCATTTCCCCTACAAACTGTTTTCTTTTGCAGAAACTGCAGAGGGCACTGTAATCCTTTCTATTACCCGTGGGCAATGAAGTTCTGGTGTGGTACAAATTTAAATAAGGACATGGAGAAACTCATTGTATCAAGATATGTATCAATTAAAATTATTGGTGCTCATGTGTTCA